GAAAATGTTTTTTATATTGAAAAGGTTTAAATTGAAAACAATTGTTCAGATCTCTGTTAAATATACATGTACATGTACTCTTGAATCCTGTAATTTGAAAAGACTATAGGGCAACATCTTGTATCCAGCAAATGATACATGATGACAAATATTTAATTATTTTCAATCCTTAAAAGTGTCTTATTTCTCTTTAGTAAGTTCAAAGACAGTTTTTCCTAATCAATATTTGTAAAATAATCTTTTAAAATGATGATAACATTTTCACATATGGACAAATAGATGCAGTTGTGTACGGTATTTACTATTTAATCAAGAAAGCAAAATATTGGTTGAGTATCAGGTGGTTACATCACACTGGGTATGTGATATTTATTTGGGTATGGTTGTTTTCTGAAATAAAAGTTTTCCTAAATTCATGTACACACAAAGTGAAAATCAATTCAGTTTGATAAAATTGACTACTTTCATGTATTGTTTAATGTTTATCACTTCATGAAAGAAATATAAAACTTACATGGACTGGTCTTCCCAACAATACTTACACTGTAATGCCTTTCATATTTTCATTGTGCAAACTTCGGTATGTACCCTACATGAATATATTGTAATTGATACAAGTTATATTTTAAAGATGGAGGGAATGAAGCCATCAATTAATCAAACAACTTAAAAGTGTTGATATTCTTCATCGTTACTAAATAGTAAATCCCTACATGTACAGTACATGTAGTACATGTATTACTACAGAAGATATCACTCATATATCACATGATTTAGTGATGATCCTTTAAAGGTGATGATGATATATTGATTAATCTCTTTGTCTTTGGTCAGAGCCAGAGGTTAAACAACAGATGCCACCTCAGGGTCAAAACGTGGTTTGAATTTCTAATTTAGGGAGATTTCTTGCTGCTACTGTAAATAGGCATGCCCTGATTTCCCTCATTAGACCGAGGTTGCAGAATAACCCGCTATTTTAACTAGCCTATAATTAGCCAATTAATTTGAGTCTTTCATCAACCCGCAGTTCCAATTAGCGGGCTATTTGGTTGAGAAAATATTCCGAGGAATCTTGGTCTTGTTTCCAAAATAGCCTGCTATTTCCTAATTTTGCGCCATCCAAGCTATGTAGGTAGTGATGAATGTATTGATCTGGTGAAGACGCAATTTCAAGCTTTAGGAAAATATCCCGAGTTTGAAAATAGTGGGTTATTTTGCAACTTCAGTCTAATGTAGACAGGCCTAGTATTTGTAGTAAGAACTTTAGCAGGGAGGCGAGGAGAGTAACGTGACCCAAAAGCTGGAATAGTTTACCAGTGTTTTTAGAGCGAGCATTTACACTACAAAAACTTGTGGGGTTTCGGCCAGCGTTTAACAAAAAACAAACTTTAAATGTGGGTTTCGTAGTTTGCTTTGCAACTTCAGACAAAACTCTAGAATGTGAGAAAAACAAACAGGTTTTGCTTGCAGTGTGCATGTAAATGCAGCTACTGTACATGTAGTAGTACATGTAGTTGTACATTGAAGCTCTTGAGACAGTTCTGTACAAATACCAGGGAGGTGATAGGGAAATCATGGACCTACTACATGGGGAAACTCCCTGCAAAAATACACTGTGTTCTTCTACTCCTGGTTGGAAGCTGTGAAGACATGCCATTTTGTTTACTCAAACCTTCTAAACCATTTTGTTTGGGTCAAGAGAAGAATGCACATTGGAAACAAAAAAGGCAACAAAACAAAATCCCCTGTTGTGAAAATGTAAATACCGGTACATGTAAATAGTACATATACAGCGTATGTAGATGTATGCTCCATGCCATTTCTTCTTCTTCTTGATTTGTTTTTGTTTGGCAATCAGTCACAGTTGACTATTTTTGCCACACACTATTTTATGAATTATTTATATATATACATATATGTACAATTTCATGTCATAAATGACTATTTTTAGGATTCTTTCTCTTTCCATCCTCTTTCCTTCCTCTTTTTTTCTTTTTAGACTCTATAACTTTTCTTAGAGAGAAAATTCAATAAATTAATAATTTTGGAATGAGACGACGGCCTAGCAAGTTGTGAATGAAAAACGCCTATAAACTAAAACTAAACGTACATACATGTACTTGTGTTTACGCGCACGTGCGCGTTCAAATATCACCTCACGTATGCACATGTGTACTTCGCACTTACCCCCACCCTTTTCAAAATGCCATCTTACCAGTCTTTGAGGTATATTTCGCAGACTTTCGGTTTTAACCTAGGTCACTTCAGCATAGGTGAGGGGGTGCCAGCTAGCATGTGATGTTGGAGGTGATCACCGAATTGTTAGAAAAAGTAAATGGTCAAATTAGTTACAAGTATTGTGGGCTTTATTGGTGCAAGAAAAAGGAAAAGAGAAGATAAGAAGAAAAAAAAAAAAAAAAAAAAAAAAAAAAAAAAAACCTCAACAACAATTTAATTGTTTTGATACAGCCGCTTTGTTCTTAAAACGAAGCGAACTATTGCTTTTTGTTTAACTATTTCTGAAAGTTTAAGTAGTGTCATGGTTTGTCATGGTTTGCCATGGTTTGTCCTTTCATAGTCTACACTCTACAGGCACAGACCCCTTGTAAGTAGCAGTGTCTGCAATATGAGACTACATGTACATAAGGCTCTGTACTTTATAGCCGCTCCTCACATAGCCAAAAACTGACAGGTCTAGGCTGTGCTCAAGTCTTTAGGAATGGTGATAAAGTGTCACATTCGAGTCTGAGCTTGGAGACTAGTCCTTTCATGTGAGCTATCTATGGATGACCTCACAAACGGTGAACTCTACCAAAATGAAAGAATCCTGTATTTGAATACCAGGAAGCCCTTTTTTTACAATAAAAAAAAAGGGGGACAAAGATTCATGGAGTGGGCTCTTTGTGGTGATGTGCTCATCACCTGATCTCCATTTAAGCCTTTGCATCATGTAGACAACAATCAACACGAGACTGATGTCATAATGATCTTTTATGGTGCAGCATGTGTAGGAGGATTATGGCAATGGTATTTTGAAGGATGGTGGAAGAGGAAATAGAAGGAATCTGAAGATCAGGGGGTGTTTCACAAAGACTAAGATCGACTTTAAGTTGGACTTAATTAACTATGGTAGGATGTTCATGCCACTGTTTGCTCTCACCATTTACTGGCATTGGTCTCTCAAGAGATGTACAAATCACGGTCACAAATCTTCAGAATTTACATTTTTTGATAATTCATTATTGAAGGAAAAGAAATTATCTAAAGATCATAATGGTGAGAGCAACCAATGGCATGAACGGCCTGCTAAAGTTAGGTCCAACTTAAAGTCGATCTTAGTCTTTGTGAAACACTTCCTTGGTTGCAATGAATAATAATGTAAGATGCTTGGAAAACTTAAGTAATGCCGAAGTAAACGTACTGTATGTACATGTTGTAGACTGAAAAGGCGAAGCACTGTGTAATCATACTTGCCTTGGTTTCAAGGAGAAATACAAAATACATGTAAGCATCTTTTTGTTGAGCTCTTGAATGCACCAACGAAACCATTAAGGCATTGAGAATTTGATGAATGATATACATTACAAAAAAGTGAGAGGTTTTGTAGAGGGGAATGAAAGTATAACCATGAGTTAACTGGTGTATGTATATCTCTTGAAAATGCTTAATAAGTAGCAAGTCTGTCATCAAGAAAATAGATTACAACTGTGGATCATCAAAGATGTTTTAATGTTTCTCTTTTTAATGAAAGGAACCTATGAGTTTGAGTCTTCATTACTAATAAATAGTGAATACACAAGGAAAAAGAACAACTTTACATTAACTGTACATGTACATGTACCTGAGCAGTCATTCATTTACAGAATTCCCCTTGTACCAGATTGTTTGACCTTTTCCCTCCTTACAAACAAGATCATCTAATTTTAAACCAGGAAGCGTTTTACAGTTTTATTTGAATCAAACACAAACCCTGTCTTTACAGAGAATTGAGCAGTCTCGAAAACAAATAAAACCTGTTCCTAATAGGTTGACCTCACTCAAATATGAGAAGCATATGTTTGCTTTTCTTTGCTTTACCATTCTAGGTTCATGTCCATTCAGTTCAACTTGTAGACTTTCCGCCCTCTTTGATGGGAAGGCCAACTACAAAATGTCCAGCTTTAAAAAAATCCTGAAAAAATATTGGGCAATCTTATGTTATGTACAACTGTATAAAGTAGAAACATGCATATTAAAACCTCAGTATTTCCAGTATTGACTGCAAAAAATATAATAATTTCAATATAAAAGCATAATCAATATTTCACAAATAACAACATAACCAATAGTTTACATTAACATTATAATATTTTGCAAATTAACAATCAAAATAAGAGTAAGAATTACTGAGAAAATTATGCATACTTTGCTTTTTGAATCAATACATTTTTCAATTGTTTGCTTCTTTGGGTTATATGAAGAAAAAAAGTGTTGGGGGTTAAAGATAAGGACCAGTTATGGTCATGCGATTGCATTGTGAAAGAAACGTTGTGGAATCGATCAGAAAAGGTTGATCATCTAGCATATTTTTGGTGTGGACTGCAGGGTTCTGGAATCATCAAAATGATAAGAAATTTGGCCCAGTCTTGGTAAAGTTACAAGCACTGTACACAGAAAGATGTATATGGGACTACACGGCACGTGCACGACATGTGTACGATATCTATCCAGTCCAAATAGATATAATAATTTACCAAATATATCAATTAGTAGGCGGTTTCTCGGCAAAATTTGTATCACGTACATTGTATTAGTCAAAACACATTCTTTCACATGATTGGTAAATAAGAGCTTCCATTTCATTTTTTGAGAGGGGGGCGTTTTCGAAACTGGTCTTTACCTTTAACATTTTTTTTGGTGGAAGATCCCTGATAGGTCTCAAATCATGCCAAAGTATTCTAAATATTGAATATTATCAATAACTAATCCAAGGTGTTTCTCTCTTTGTGTTTGTCTTTCAGTTTCAACAGCATTATTAAAATGGTCTTATACTGAAAGCAATGCCAACATACCAAACCTCTACTCCTGCTGGTCAGATCTGGACCTTGCCATTCAGACACTCGCACAAGAGAGTATTGATCATGTAAGTATAACAGTGTGGAGTTTATAAAGATATTGCTATTGTGAAAGGGGAAGTCTACCCTGATATGAAGTTGGTTTAAATAGAAGCCGAAAAATGAGAGGAACAGGTCAGTGAAATTTAGAGCAGAATCTGATAAAAAATATGAAAGTTATGAAGTTTTGAAGTGGTAAATTTGTGATGTATCTTGCAAGGGCCTCTCTGAATTACTCTGTTCAGAAAATGTCATGAACTTTCATTTTCTTATTTATTGATGATGGACTAGATTTCTTTCACCTTGTTTGGCGTTCGACAATAAGGGATATAGCAACGTCGATCTGGCGCTGCTCAGTGGCTGCCGGGCTCACGATCAATTGGGCAAAAAGAATTTCTGTTTCGGTTTAATAAAATTTGGAGTGGACTTAAAAAGATTATTATTATTATTATTATTATTATCTCATCAAATCAGCTCTCAATTAAAATTAGAAAATGGAGATTTACGGATTATCAGGGTGGACTTCCCCTTACTTTTAGCAGTGTCAACACTATTCTGATTCTGAACAGTCAATAAATATGTTATGGACATTGTATACTTTTGTTATCCTTTTATATCATTTATTGAGTATTTATTCATCAACCACATAAACATCTAATATATGATTCACTATATAAATTGGATACCATAATAGGGACTTTTAGATTTAAAAGTGCAAATCTAAAAGTAGATTGTTGTCATCTTTGAAAATTGACATAGTGATATACTCAACCAATAAATCAATAACTGAGAGATAAATACTTAGTAGAACACACAATGTAAATCAGATATTTGTAAGCTAATAGTAAATCGTAAACAGACAGAGAGAATGAGAGAGAGAGAGACTGAGAAAGAGAGAAAGAGAAAGAGAAGAAGGGGAGGGGGATAGAGAGAGAGAAAATCAAATGGGGTCCCTGATGGGGGTACAACAATAGAGAGAATAAGAATGGAGAGAGAAACAGAGAATGAGATGGAGAGAAAAACAGAGAATGAGATGGAGAGAAAAACAGAGAATGAGATGGAGAGAAAAAGGGTTTGAGAGAAAGAGAGAGAAAGAGGATGAAAGGGAGAATGAAGAGGGAGAGAGAGAGAGCACGCGCGTGTGTGGGGGAGAGAATTTGAGAAAGAAGGAGATATATTGCATTGACATATTTAGGACAAAATTAGTTTGTACATTTAAAGACATCCATGGCATGTTATCCCTTTTTACATAATCTTTCAAAGCTGGGTGCCAATGAACTACCTATGAAAGAGACAGAAAGTTGAATGATATTAATAGTTCCTGCAGTGGGACACCTTCGAAGGTCATATTTAATAGATTACCACTCCCTACTTGTCCATCTTCACATGATGCACCGTGAATGTAGGTCGTTTCAGGCGGTTTATTAGGGACTTTTAGATTCGCACGAAGACAATGTGGATTGCTACGATCGACGTCCTTTTAATGCACTGCTTTGAATGGACGTCACACGTATCAGTCCACGCAAATCTAAAAGTCCCTTTTGCAGTTTCGTCTACAACCAGTTCATCTGCTGTACTACTCAATTGTTCTAATCTCACATGGTCTACACCCAGACTGTCTACTCTCCTCATGGTCTAATTATCATTTCTTCTGATTATAATAAGGTCTAGTGACCATTTAGGCTAATAGTCATTTAGTCTAAAATTAATTTGGTCTTAGCTCCAGTTACATGTAGGATATTAGTCATTTGGTCTATTCATTTACATATAATCTAATAACTACCCAACTACAAACTGCAGTCTATTCCCATGTGGTCTACAGCCAGCCCGTCTACTCTCCTCATGGTCTAATTAAAATTTTGTCTAACTACCATGTCTTCTGATTATAATAAGGTCTAGTGTCCATTTAAGCTAATAGTCATTTGGTCTAATATTCATTTGGTCTAATCTATAGTTAGTCTACCAACCATTCGGTCTATTGGTCATTTAGTCTAATTTCCAGTCGGTCTTATTCCCAGTTTGTCTAATGCCCATTTTGTCTACTATCTATATGGTCTAATGATCTTTTAATCAGGAATAATAATCATCATAAAATGATTACTAGACCTTATGTATTGTAGATGAATGGGCATTAGACAAACTTGGATTTAGACTAACTGGTTACTTGGGCTAAAACTTCTAAATGATCGAGTAAGTTGTCTGTTATGCCGGCAGTGTGCGGTGAAGTTACTGCACTTACATGTACTATGATAAATAGCGAGATGAATAGAAATGGTTTATTAAACAGATTATCACAGCCAACGGCTGAATTGCGATCCATTTCACAAAGATACAATACAATTGCAATTCAAATTCAAATAACAAAAAATATGACATCAAACATATAGACATTTCATAAAAATTCATTGATCAAATTCAATTTTTTGTTAAAAAAGAAAGAGAAATGGAGAGGTGTAGGAGAGGGAGAGTTAGAGTGATTAATTCAAAAAGAGAGAGGCAGAGAGAGAGAGAGAGAGAGAGAGATGAAGGGGGAGACAGACAAAGGGGATCCTTATTATTATAGATGAGGGGAGATGGCAAGAAACATTCAGAAAATCAAGATAAAAACTATCATTAGTCATTCACACATAATATAAATTCTAAAAATACACTTTATATTACCGGTAGTAATACATTTTATTGAGAAGATTTATAAAGTATGGAAGGGAGCTGCACTGGAAGTGTTTTGTTTTACAGTGGTATTGTTTTAACTTTGATTGAGCTTAATGTATCAGACTGTGATAATCTGCTCATCAATCAATGCATTTTGGTAATTATACCCACGTGCAGGGAACAATTATTTTTGGGAACCACAAAAAATAGCTCTGTAAAACAATTACCCCAAACCCATCTTTCCTGAATGAAACCTCCAGAATAGTTCCTGTAAATTAATACAGTAGAGTGTCCGTATAAGCTCTTTTAGTACACTGAATTCACATCAATTAGTCATGAGAAATATGATCTTTTTTAAATGTATATGCCACTGCTAAGTTTTTTAAAATCATATTTCCTGTATAATTACTATATTAAAAAAACACACACAAGGCAAAGTGTAATATGCGTCACATTTCAATGCTAGATATACAATGAAAGATAATCTGACTGTTTACCCGTAAGTGAAAAGAAACCATTAAAATATTAATGATAACAATAAAAACTGATCTGATCGATTCCTAAATCCTCTCGAATATACTATTAAAATTTAATTAAATTGTATGTGAATGTAGATTGTCACAAAGCAATGAATTGGCTCTACATGTATATATATATACCATTCCAAACATTCAAGTGTTGAAAGATTTTTAAAAGCCTGTTTTATGTCTTATTTTTTATGGAAAAACAGGTGGGAAAATTGATAAATGTGTTGGGATATCTTACTGTTAGAGGGGGTTACACATTGACGCCTTCAAAGAAAACCATAAGTATCTTCGTGGTTTGAGAATTTTTTCAGGATTTTTTACACGTTAGTACAGAAGTAGGGATATAATAAGTAACATCTCATACAAATTTTACACAGTTTTTTCATCAGCCTTCAACAATGTTACCAGTTCAATTTAAATGTTCTTTTATTCTTTACAGAGTGTGGAGTACAGGAAGGTATTTAAGGACATCAACTTAGAGGGAAAGAAACTGAATGAAATCCAGAAGGAGAAAGAGAGCAGTGCAAAGAAAGTCTCAGGAATCAAGAGACAGGTAAAGAAAATCATTCAAATTTTCCTTGTTCCCCTATCTGTAGGACCATTCGCATACAAGGCAAAGTCAAGATTTGAATTCATTTTGCCATTGTTAACATTTTAAAATTTAAATTTGTAATACTTAATTTTTAATATTTCAAATTGTTCTTGACTTTTGATGTCTTGTCTCGTCTTGACTTTTCTGTGCCTTTCTTTCCTTTTCTTTTCTCTTTTTGTAATTGTTTTAGTTTAGTTTAAAGGCATCGCTAAACAATGTTAAATCTGAGATGCATGGCCCTACGTGTTATCAGTGTCTGTGATATGGTGTAATACAGAAGCCCTAAAAAATTGCAATTCAAAATGATCATGAAGTGCCTCAACAAAGTAAAAATCTTTGAGTGACCAGTTTTACTCTTTTTTCCCAATAGACTGTAGTGTTATAAAAACTGTTAGGAAAACGAAAAATGAAATTTCAATTTTCAATCTTAAATATCTTCATAATCAGACAGGCGATCGGCTTGTAAACGTCATGGGTTTCCTGACTGACCTAGAGGTTTATAATTATGATTGCAGCATGAGCTAAATCCAGGATTTTGTTTCAGAATCTGAGGCAATGTTACCGAGTCACTTTAAAGCCGGTACTCAAAAGAAGTTAATTTTTTAGAGTTATTGTTTTTGCTAAATGTTATATTTAATTGCCAATCGTAACTTTCAATTGCAATCTCTAATTGCAATAATACAAAAAAAAAATTGTCTCTTGCTTTGGTTTCGGTTTCCTTAACAGAATGATTAACTTTCCTTAAATTGTCACCTGAACAAATAATGGCTTTTTAAAATGAACAAGTATTGGCTAATTAGCAATTATTCTTGTTTCAATGAAGAGAGAATCTCTTCAAATCAAATGAGATTAAAAATTCCCCTACAAAGAAATGTTCACCATTCAAAGGACTTATAACAAAAAGTACGGTTATACCTTTGTATATATGTATGTCATATTCAATGGATGAATGCATTTTATTTACTTGGAATAGATTTAGGGAGAAATATGAGGCATTTGCGATGTAATGACTTTTGCATTAAAATAAATAAATTTACCATTTTTGAAAGGAATAACCTTTTTCAAACTTGACTTTCATTGCATATCTAGGGTTAACATAACATTGATAATACCTTGTATTGCTTTGGAACTAATTATGATTAAAGGGATAGTTGAGTTCTGTTTTAAGACCGCAATCGCCTTCAAAGTGCATGGTTATTGCTCTTATTCTTATCTATAACATTTCTAGTACCCTTTGAGGACCTAAAATTGCTATGAAGGTAATTTTAGACCCCAAAATGTGTGAAATTTAGCCAATACGATCATACCAATTTAGCTCCACTTTCAAAAAATTTGGTGACCGTTAGCTAATTAATTAACTAATAATAACAATACATGGGCCAGCTGGTTGGGCTTAATATAACCAACACAAAAAAGCCAACAAAAAAGCCATCGTTATATTTATGGATATTTCAGCCGTCTCTGAACCAATTTTGATCAAACAAAGATGATTTTTTCATTTAAATTGTATGTTCTTTCAAATTTGACACTCAGTTTTTCTTTATCTCACACAAAAATTATTTTGTGTAGCGCCCTCTGCAACAGAACTCGACTATCCCTTTAAAATCACTCCACATTCTTACTTGCAGATTGAGAGTGCTAAGAAATCAAAAAAAGGCGCTGACAAAGTGAAACTTAGCAACTATGAAGCTGAATTAATATTGGTAAGTATGAATACTCCCCAGGGAGCAGAGCATGTGCACTATCATTTGGGGATAATAATAATAATAATAATAATAATATGTCTTGTTTACCCAGGGTAGCCTCATCATTATTCATACTGTTCTCCCCGAGGGCCCTGCAATCATATTATTACCCCGGTCATTGGATTCAGGCTTACCCGAACACAATGTATGCACATTTTCCACTCCATGGGGAGCATTCCAGCCAGGCGTCATTTTTACAAGCGCACACTTGCTCATCTATTAAACCACATTAGCTTTGGCATCCTACCGGATACCCATTTAACACCTGGGTGGAGAGTGGCAAATGTAGATCAATGTCTTGCCATTGAATCCAATCCGATGGTACTTACAATGTAAAGCGCTTAGAAACCTAGTATTTAGTGCTATACAAATGTGACTGTTTTAAGTATTCATTAAAATATTTAATACAAACGACTATTTGAGAGTCCTACATGAATATTTCCCCAGTTTTAATGATGTTTGATCTTTAAAGGCAGTTTATCCCTCTTGCAGCCAACATCACATTCTGTAGAACTATGAAGGAATTCCGAATATGTCATGTATGTCCCTTCTGTGAAATTTAAATGTTAGCAGTATTGATTAAAATAATTAAGTAATTAATTTAGCTATCCATTAAATTAGCTTTTTAGCTATTTAGTTAATTAGCTACGTATTCATTTAGTATTTATTTGTATTTATTTGTTTAGTCATTTATTTATCTATTTATTTATCTATTTTTTGATATAATTTATTTACTTTTATTAAATTTATTAATTGTTACTTTTTTTTCTTTGTTTTGACTCTGATAGGCACAAAGTAAAGACACTGAGATGGGAAAGGTACTCATCACAAAAACAAAAGAACATGAAGATCATAAGGTAAGTGAGAATTTACAAGTTTACTTGATGTAATCAGGAAAAAAATCCATGATTGCCAAATCGATTAGTTTTAAAATAGATGCAATTTACTCAGTGTGCTCTTAGTGTGTGTCTTCACTATATGGTAGTATCAGTAGAAGTGTATGAAAATCATCTTAAACTTATCTGTTCGTTTTTGCCTATAACTCATCATTATTCTTTTTTTTGTCTTTTTTTTTAAATTTCTATTTTCTATCCTACTGTACGCATGTGTATTTTTGTGTACCGGTATACATTTAGTGTAAATGCTTCATACAATTTCTTTTTTTTGTGCAATTGTGCCCCTTGAGTCCTTGATTTTAGTCTAATCCAGTGCATTACAAACCATCCCTGAATGCTTGTCACAAGCAAAAATGTTGTATCTTTATGGTATTTCTTAGGAAAGTAGACTATTTTTCTTCTACTTCCTTGAGGAAAAAGATGGAAAATGGACAAATACAGGTAGATTTAGAACAAAATATAGATGAAAAATATATTCAGAGTTGAAAATAGTCAAAAAACACATTTTCTGTGCTGTTTTTCCCCCGACTATTAACTTGGCTAGTTTAAGACTATTATATTTTGACTAAGGTTTGTATATACCTACATGTACATGTATTAATTTTTACAAGAATAATTTATACTTCATACCGATTTTGAATGATTTTGTGATATCGTAGACCCCCAGTATCTTAGAATGTACATGAATACATTTTTGACTCTCTACATGTACATGTAGGTATCCAAAGTCAATTTTTTTATGAAATTATAAATCAGCTTCTAAAGCCTTCTGGTACATAGCAGCCAACCATTTCTATTTTGGAGGTATAATTCCTTTTTTTGGCATTCAAACTATTGTTATGAACCCTAAATCCCTTTTTTTGTTGAAACATTCTGTGTGAAAAGCATGTGAAATAGACTGTGTTCTTAATTTTGCCTCATGAGATTCCTAATTTTTTCTGTGAAAGGTTGGCAGGTATGCCAGTCATTCATTCTATTGTCAGTCTGAATGTAGAGGGTGCGAACTAAACTACTTCACAAATTTCTCAGAGCAAGGTCCAAAGACCGACTCTTTTGGTAAATTGAAAGAAACATTAATCAAAGGGGCATTGAACTGGAAAATATCATGGAAAAGGTCTGATAACTAATAAAAGTTATGTCACAGGTAGATTTAGAAAATAAAAGATAATGATATAATCAATTTTTTTCTTGTATACGTGTACCCTGTACATGTAATTAGCCAGGGACTTGATAACAAAAAGGGTTATCAAATTTGGTAATGAGAGGGGGGTTGCATGTGATCCTCCCCCCCTCCCCCTCGCTCTTAATGTGTAATTGAGTGAGTACCCATTGTTTTATTGCTGTTTTAGAGTCTGTTTAATGTTTTTTAAAAGCATTTTACTACATCATTTATGAGATTTAACCTTCAAAATATATAATGAATGATGTTTATGAGTCTGTTTAATGTTGATTTTTTTTTCTTTAAAGCATTTTACTTCCTCATTTACATGTATAAGAAAAGAAATAAAGTCAATGAGTCTGTTTAATGTGAATTTAAAAAAACACATTTTACTTCATCATTTATGAGATGAAACATTCAAAATAAATATTGAATAATGTTTGTGAGCCTGTTTTTATGTTGATTTTTTTTCTTCAAAGCATTTTACTTCCTCATTTACATGTATAAGAAAAGAAATAAAATCTATGAGTCTGTTTAATGTTGATTTTTTTGAAACATTTTACTTCATCATTTATGAGACTTAACCTTCAAAATAAATAATGAATGATGTTTATGAGTCTGTTTAATGTTGATTTTCAAAACATTTTACTTCCTCATTTATAACAAAAGATAAAAAGTCTATGAGTCTGTTCAAAAAATTTTTTTAAAGCATTTTACTTCATCATTTATGAGATTCAACCTTCAAAATAAATAATGAATGATGTTTATGAGCCTGTTTAATGTGGATTTTTAAAAGGCATTATACTTCCTCATTTATAAGATTAAACTGTCAATTTATTTTGCTTTGAATTAAAGATAATCCAGGATGGATAAGGACTACTGAGAGATATATATTGAGGGAAGGATAAAAAACTGAGGGGAGAGAAAAGAATCATGATTTTGGATGGTACTAAAGCAAATGATACTATGCCACTGAAATGCGCCCAACAATTAAATACCATTTTTAAATATCGCAAAAGTAATATCTGACCCCCCAAATTTAAATAAGTTTCTTACTTCACCTTTTATTTATTATATATACTCTTCCTTACTTGTAGGCCAATCTGCTCCAGGAATCATCGTTGACATACTGTGACAAGTCTCTGGAGATCTTAGACAAGCTTCGTCAAGTTATTGTAGCCAAACGGGAGGTTGCGTCCATGATGACACCAAAGCCTGTCTACAATGGTGACCAGATCAAAGGAGGTAATCTATTTTCAATCTGATGAAGATTTCTAGATCTTTGTTCTATTGGTGTGATTATTACGTCACAATAGAGTGCGCGCAAAGTGCGCAGGTTCTCGTACACATAATAGATGCGCAATGAAAATGACAAAATACGGCGCTGTCAATATAGTCTTACATATATTTACTGCTTTTTTAACACGTAGCCCTTTTCATTAGAGGGTAATATGGTCTTTAATTATGTCTTTTAGGATTACAACACGTGTAATATGATTTTGTAAAACCACTGCCCAGGTGTCTGATGCGGGTAATAATATATATACTTTGCGGGCACTCTATTGTGACGTAATAATCTCACCAAAGGCATAATCAGGGCTCGAATTACCCACCGGCAATCGGCAATTTGCCGCCATGCCCCTCTCACTGGCCGGAATGCCCTTTTCAAAATCAAACCGTTTACGGCCACAATATTTTTATCCACAAAAGTTTTGCCGACATTATAGTCATCGTAAGCCAACCCGACTTGTAATGTTCAAAAAGATTTTGTTGCCCATACGGAGCTCTAATAACAATGATAGTCGGCAAGGTTTTGTTGCCCCTCCGGAGCTCTAAAAACAATGACAGTCGGCAAGGTTTTGTTGCCCCTCCGGAGCTCTAAAAACAATAATTACCGGAAGGTTTTGTTGCCCCTCCGGAGCTCTAAAAACAATGATGGTCGGCAAGGTTTTGTTGCCCCTTCGGAGCTCTAAAAACAATAATAGTCGGCAAGGTTTTGTTGCCCCTCCGGAGCTCTAAAAACAATAATAGTCGGCAAGGTTTTGTTGCCCCTCCGGAGCTCTAAAGACAATAATTACCGGAAGGTTTTGTTGCCCCTCCGGAGCTCTAAAAACAATGATAAGTCGGCAAGGTTTTGTTGCCCCACCGAGGCTCTAAAAACAATAATTATCGGAAGATTTTGTTGCCCCTCCGGAGCTCTAAAAACAATAATTACCGGAAGGTTTTGTTGCCCCTCCGTAGCTCTAAAAACAATAATTATCGGAAGGTTTTGTTGCCCCTCCGGAGCTCTAAAAATAATAATTACCGGAAGGTTTTGTTGCCCCTCCGGAGCTCTAAAAACAATGATAAGTCGGCAAGGTTTTGTTGCCCCTCCGAGGCTCTAAAAACAATTATCGGAAGGTTTTGTTGCCCCTACGGAGCTCTAAAAACAATAATTACCGGAAGGTTTTGTAGCCCCTCCGGAGCTCTAAAAACAATGATAGTCGGTAAGGTTTGGTTGCCCCTCCGATGCTCTAAAAACAATAATTATCGGAAGCCGTTTTGTTGCCCCTCCGGAGCTCTAAAAACAATAATTACAGAAAGGTTTTGTTGCCCCTACGGAGCTCTAAAAACAATTATAGTCGGCAAGGTTTTGTTGCCCCTCCGGAGCTCTAAAAACAATAATTACCGGAAGGTTTTGTTGCCCCTCCGAAGCTCTAAAAACAATAATAGTCAGCAAGGTTTTGTTGCCCCTCCGTAGCTCTAAAAACAATATTTATCGCCAAGGTTTTGTTGCCCCTCCGAGGCTCTAAAAACAATAATTATCGGAAGGTTTTGTTGCCCCTCCGGAGCTCTAAAAACAATGATAGTCGGCAAGGTTTTGTTGCCCCTCCGGAGCTCTAAAAACAATGATAGTCGGCAAGGTTTTGTTGCCCCTCCGGAGCTCTAAAAACAATAATAGTCGGCAAGGTTTTGTTGCCCCTCCGGAGCTCTAAAAACAATAATAGTCGGCAAGGTTTTGTTGCCCCTCCGGAGCTCTAAAAACAATAGTCGGCAAGGTTTTGTTGCCCCTCCGGAGCTCTAAAAACAATAATTATCGGAAGGTTTAGTTGCCCCTACGGAGCTCTAAAAACAATGATAGTCGGCAAGGTTTTGTTGCCCCTCCGGAGCTCTAAAAACAATAATAGTCAGCAAGGTTTTGTTGCCCCTCCGGAGCTCTAAAAACAATATTTATCGGCAAGGTTTTGTTGCCCCTCCGAGGCTCTAAAAACAATAATTATCGGAAGGTTTTGTAGCCCCTCCGGAGCTCTAAAAACAATAATAGTCGGCAAGGTTTTGTTGCCCCTCCGGAGCTCTAAAAACAATAATAGTCGGCAAGGTTTTGTTGCCCCTCCGGAGCTCTAAAAACAGTAATTACCGGAAGGTTTTGTTGCCCCTACGGAGCGCTAAAAACAATAATAGTCGGCAAGGTTTTGTTGCCCCTCCGGAGCTCTAAAAACAATAATTACCGGAAGGTTTTGTTGCCCCTCCGGAGCTCTAAAAACAATAATAATCGGCAAGGTTTTGTTGCCCCTCCGGAGCTCTAAAAACAATAATAGTCGGCAAGGTTTTGTTGCCCCTCCGGAGCTCTAAAAACAATGATAGTCGGCAAGGTTTTGTTGCCCCTCCGGAGCTCTAAAAACAATAATTACTGGAAGGTTTTGTTGCCCCTACGGAGCTCTAAAAACAATAATTATCAGCAAGGCTTTGTTGCCCCTACGGAGATCTAAAACAATGATAATCGGCAAGACTTTGTTGCCCCTACGGAGATCTAAAACAATAATTATTGGCGAGACTTAATTTCCACTATTGAACTCCTAAATTAATTGGCGGGACTTAATTGCCGATACGGAGATATGAAAGAATGTCTTCATCCAAATGACTGAAACGTTTGGCACAAAAACCGTAATGACTCGGGCTTAGTTTTTCAATCCATCCTTTTTATTTGAACCAATCAATATCGGGAACAACATCTTTACTTCGCGTTGTGACCTTTTTTGGTGCGTTTTCACAGTTTTTAATCAGTGAAAAACTTGGATTTTTCTCGGAAGGAGGGTCTGGAATTAAATCAGAAAAGGATTAAGAGTCGAGATAATGGTACAAAGAATCGTCTTCTTTCCCATACGTTTTAATTAAAACGTTTTAATTAAAACGTCATAGCTTCCGCCCATCGCGCGGGAGGGGTGTGAATTGAGTTCAGAAAAGGATAATACCGGTAGTCGAGATCGAGACGAATCGTCTTCTTTCCCTAATAATTTATTAAAAACGTCTAAGCTTCCGCGCTTCCCTTGGAATTCAGAAAAGGGTAAAGAGTCAAGAACGGTACAACGAATCATCTTCTTTCTCTAATAATTCAATGAAACGTCAAAGGGGGAAACTCCCCCCCCCCCAATTTTTTTTTGAAAAGCATTTTAAAGAGAAATAGAAAGAAAGAGAGCAAGAAAGAAAAAATAGTTAACTACCAGTTTCTCAACAAAATAAGGTATCAAAAATTGCTCATCTGATCGTAATTAAACGCCTAAAACCCCTGAGCTTCCGTGGGCTCTGCCCCCGGGACCCAACCAAGGGCCCTTTGGCAGGCCTCTTGATACTCATCTGACTGCAATTTTCTGGGGGCTCCGCCCGCTGGACATCACGCCAATCAGTGTCCTGCCAGTGTCACAAATAAAGTATAAAAACATGTTCATCTGACCGTAATCAAATGCTTAAACCCCAGAGCTTCTGGGGGCTCTGCCCCCTGGACCCCACTGGATGCTAATCTGACGGTAATGTAACGCTTTAAACCCATGGGCTTCTGGGGCTCCGCCCGCTGGACCTCACGCCAATCAGTATCCTGCCAGTGTCACAAAAAAGGTATAAAAATATGTTCATCTGACCGTAATCAAATACCTGAAACCCCTGAAATTCAGGGGTTTCCGCACCCTCGACTCCACCAGGGGCCCTGAGGCGGGCCTCTGAATGCTTATCTGACCGTAATTTGCCTTCAACCCATTAGTTTCCAAGGGTGAACAAGGTATCAAAAGATGTTCATCTGACCGCGGGCACGTAGCCGGGGGGGGGGGGGGCAGTGGGGGTGCCCCCCAAAAAAAAGCCAAAAAAAAGAAAGGAGAGAAAAGGAAGAGGACGTATGGAGGAAAAGGAGCAGACAAAAAACATTTTAGAAATTCAGACAAGGATTAAGAGACGAGAACGGTACAACGAATCGTCTTCTTTCTCTAATGATTTAATGAAACATAAAAGCTTCCGCGCTTTGCGCGGGAAGGGGAAAACTGTATTCATGCAGGCGAGGACTATTATCGAGAAAGGTACAACGAATCGTCTTGTTTCTCTAATAATTAAATTAAATGTCAAAGCTTCCGCGCTTCGATCGCGCAGGAGGTGGGGTAACTGAATTTAGACAAGGATTAAGAGTCGAGAACGATACAACGAATTGTCTTCTTTCTCTAATGATTTAATAAAACGTAAAAGCTTTCGTGCTTTGCGCGCGCGGATGGGGGGGGGGGAACTGAATTCAGACGAGGATTAAGAGTAAAAAACGGGACAACGAATCGTCTTCTTTCTCTAATGATTTAATGAAACGTAAAAGCTTCCGAGCTTTGCGGGGGAGGGGGGGGGGGGATGAATTTAGACGAGGATTAAGAGACGAGAACGGTACAACGAATCGTCTTCTTTCTCTAATGATTTAATGAAACGTAAAAGCTTCCGCGCTTTGCACGGAGGGAGGGGAACTGTATTCAGACGAGCAGGCACGTACGCAGGGGGGGGGGGGGGGTTTGGGGCGTTAACCCCCCCTTCGGTTTTTTTATGTCTGTATTTTGGAGCAAACCCCCCCCCCCTTTTTTTTTTTTTAAAATGAAACACACACACAAAAAATTATGCCAATGGCTGATCTAAAAAAGGTGACCTCAACCCCCCCCCCCCACCCCTCCCCCCACCCCAAAGGGAACAAAATGTCAAATTTTCAAATTTCGAGACCAAAAAACAAAAAAAAGTGTCCTCTTACCCCCCCCCCCCCCCCCCCCCCCCTAAGGAAGAATTCCTGGATCCGCCCCTGGGTGCACATATCCCACCCCTCCCCCCCCCCCCCACCTTGAAAACAACGGCGAGAGGTGATTTTACGCGCACTTTCCACGTTGGCCTTAGTGCCCCTTAGGATAGATTTGTGCCCCTTTCAGTGGATTTGTGCCCTCTCAAAAAAGTGGCCTTGACCCAAATTTGATGTAATTCGAGGCCTGCATAATGTTTGCAATGTATCGAAAATTTCATCAAGCACTGGATGCACAGTGCTGGTTTGACAAAGTTCAAGTTGTTCAATTCTTTGAGATTGTCATGGTTGATTTATGTATTTGCTCTAGATGTCTGATTTGGATAACAATAACAATATTGACTGGCTTAACTTTCGGGAGATACCACATATATTGCTCTCACAATACCCATATTGCCCTCGTCTTTGACTTGGGGCAATATGAGTCTAATTTGGGAAATATATGTGTTATATCCCTCAAGGCCAGTCCATATTATATAAATATTATCCCATGTGGGCGAAAACAAATAGGAATGCGATTCATTAGATTTCCAATTACATAAACACAACATTCTTAACACACAATCCGAGTCACAGAGGGGTATTGAAAGGAATGATTTATAATATACCGCTAATTCATACATGTATGTTCATAGGTGTAGTAGAGGTGTCAAATTAATTCCTTGAAATGCTAGAGCGCCATAATGGCAGCACAGCTCAAGCCAAGGTAATAATTTCCAACATTTGTTAAGGCGTCTTGAGCATCCCTTGGGGTGGATATGTGCGCATTATAAATGTTGTTATTATTATTACCAGTTATCTCTGTTTTAGTCTCTAATTGTTGCAATGTTTTCACCAACTTTGATATATATCCTATAGATGGAATAAGCACTGTAGAGAAGGTATTCCAGACGCTGGACATGCAGCTTCCGGCGAGGGAGCCCGCCCTCGACAGGCGGAGATGCTTTGGTCTGGGAATGCGATCCTCTGTTCTACATTCCGCCTCTGAGAGCATCCCCGTAGCTCAGAGCCCCAAGCAGTCCAAGAGTCTCCCCAGAGGGGCACCCCCCACCATCCCAGGGAACTCCCCCTCCCTGCGGTCCGGCCATACAGGTACTCTAGGCGGACACTCATCCAGTGAGTATTAACAATATGCACAGACATTAAAAACACATTCACAAGTTACTTTATGACCCCTCTGACCCCTCTGACCCCTTGAGTGGCCTATATATTTTTAGGGCAAGGCCACTTTTCTGTAGGGCAGATTCCTATATTACAGCTAAAATAGGATGCGAACGTTCATGTGGTTGAACGAGCAAGTGAGCGCTTGTAAAAGGGCAACTGGCTGGAATGCTCCCCAGGGAGTGGAAAATGTGCATACATTGTGTGCGGGTTAGCCTGAATCCGATGACCGGGGTTATAATATATCTGTAAAGCGCTTATGCACATCGTCGGATCGATGTATTGAGCGCTATATAAAGACGGAATATTATTATTATTATTATTATTATAGGAAGAATTAGAAAGGGCACAAAAAATCTCCAAGGCCAAAGAGAGAGGCATTGAGGTCAATCAAAAGGGCATCCACGGCCATGACCTTGGTGGCCTTGGATTTATTTAAGCCCTGCTTTTTGTAATAGAGGAGGTCTCTGTATAACTTAAGCCTATTACAATGCTTAGTGCTATGTAAAATATTGACTTGAATACCGATCTAGATTTTTAAAAAAATCATCTCTCTTTATTGATCTTAGGTGCGGTGTATCAGGGTGCGGAGGAGCTTGGGCTATCAGACGACTCTGATGACGACCACGACTACCAGGTCCCAAACGAAGAGTACTTCGGCCAGAAGAAGAAGCATGACATTAGTATGGACAGCCAAGAAGAAGAGTACCTAGCTCCGGAGTTCGCCATCGAATCTCCAACGAGCCCCAGGGTCCCGCCGAGGCAGGAATCCATGCAGTCCAGTCAGTCGTTCGATTCCGGCCCCGGTACGAGTGAAATTCCTGGTTGGTACAATCAAAGAAAATTTGCTCCCATAACTCCATTTCCCCCACACACCACCTGAAAAAAATATAATTAAAAAAAAAACTTTTGTAATAGATTCACATTTATACTCATTGTTTGATCACTAAATTCCTTCAGTGTTTCTGACGACATGTTATTGAACCTCTTGTCCACCCCCTTTGTGATAAAAATCATTCTGGATCTGCCGATGGTGGGCAATCCAAAATGCTAGTCTTCTATTCAAATTCAAATTCCTTGTCTGCAATCGTGCATTTTGTTCTTTGGTGGGGAAAAATACATGATTGTTTTACAGAGTGATCGAGAACCCTCAGAATACTGACCCAGGGTTTTCTGAGATTCATTTTTATCTCGGTGTGATCAAATGTCCTTAAAACCTTTTAAAAATCAGTATTCTGAGACTCATTTTATATTGATCTTATCTAGCTATGACCCACCCACTAGTGATGCGGTAACCGATAAGAAATGTTGTTGGATTATTTAACTCTCTTCAAGTTCAGCCAATGGAGACTTGTTCTGCCAGTCTCTTTGGCAAGAGAGTACAAATGCCTGATTTTTACAAATTAGATGATATCATTATCTTTGATTCTTTGTTGTAGTTGACTACATGATTGTTGTGCAGTATCGCTAAGAACCTTCAGAATGCTAGGCTTATTTACTTGTTGCAGATTAGCGTTGTGCCAATAAAGTCTGCTACTGCTGCCGCTGTTACTGTTACAACTATTTCTTGGTAATATCACAATCATTTATTCTGTGTTTCAGGTGACTACATGGTAGTTGTCCAGGATGATTCAGAAGACCAGCCCAGGATTCCACTGGGACTAGGCACCTCTCGCGGTTCTACAGACTCCAGCAACAGCAGTTCCAGCACTGGTCCAGGAAGACCTGGTCCTATCAAGCTACCTCGCGTGCTACCCTCCTCCAACAGCGTGGACCTGGTAGAAGGAGAAGACTTCTGCTGGAGGGACAGGAAAAGTCCAGGACTAGTCCAGAAGAGCCAGGAACTGCCGGCTAAAAAAGAGAAGGAAGCAGTTCCAACGGAGAAGGAGACGGCCCTGATGAAGAGGAAACCGCAACCGCTCCCCAAGCCGGCAGTGGAAGTGAAGCCCAAGCCTAAACCGAAACCGAGGCCTAGCCCCAACATGTCTCCAGGTATGAAGGACAAACCGATGCCATTACCAAGGTCAGGCAGCACCGAGCAAGAACCTCATAATGAAGACTCAGGTGGTCTTTATGAGATCATGAGTGCAGCAGGTTAGTGTAGAGATATAGTCTCCAGAATGTCAGAAGGGAGTAATTCCTCTGTAAAATGATCTGGGCCCCGTCTTACAAAGAGTCGCAATTGATCCAAATCAATCGCAAGTCCTCCAATCAATTGCAAGTTTGCAGTCTCCTATCTCTTATGTACATACAATGTACTTGCGATTGAGCAAATAAGTTGCAATTGATATCAACTCTTTGTAAAACAGGGCCCTGGTGTAATGCTTGTATAACAGCAATCCCTATCATTATGAATATGATGAATGAATTATATAACAATGTGAAAAACCTCTATAGAGTACCGAAGCTGTGACGTCATAAAAATCTATTTTTAGAATTTCTCAATTTTTTCTTCATTTTCCGAAAGAACATCAAAAATAATGTCCAAATGTCGAAAACCAATTGAATATGTTAAATATTGGCTGAGATATGACCATCTGAATAAAGATACTCCCCATAGGAACTCAGTTTTATATGCTCTGGCTCCTAATGGTTAGGAGCCAGAGCATATAACATTGAGTTCCCATAGGACATATATTCATTCGGATGGTCATAACTCAGCCAATATTTAACATATTCAATTGGTTTTCGACATTTGGACATTATTTTTGATGTTCTTTCGGAAAATGAAGAAAAAATTGAGAAATTCTAAAAACAGATTTTTGATGACGTCACACTTCACCACTCTATATCATTTGTTTAAAGCCAGAAGGTTGTTAACTGTGTGTTAAAGCATATGAGTTAACTTCTTTCTGGCTCCAAACGGATCATTTGTTCATTGAGAATATAAAAGGTCAAACAAAATTAGACTATTTAAACATATTTGTGGCTTACACCCAGTAAATAAGATCGATTGATCGATCTGTATTGAAAAACAAGTCAGAAAAAATCTTGGAACCAGTGGGACTTGAACCAGAGTAGTTTGAAGAAAAAGGTTTTTTTCCTTCTTCTGTGCCTTCTTACAAAAAAATTCCTTCCGCATATAGTCACTCTTTGCATCGTATACAAATATTTTTGAACCAGCTTGATCAAATTCGAGTCAATATCCTCATAGAGTTAGAAACCATGCATTCAGATTAATTTTTATGATGCAATTTCATCTTCACGCAGATGCTCAAAAGATACAGATGAGTAAGAACGGTTTGCCAACGATACCTTCGACCTATGACCCGGAAGAAGGGACCAATCAGTGTGGTGATTACTACTCAGAAGTCTATGAAAGAGACGAGGAAGGTTCAGACTCTGATGGAGATTATTGTGTAGCAGGTATGTCCATGATAATTGTAATTTTCGAACTGATCTGTGCATATTAATGATATCAGAATTGTTTGTCATTGATTTTCAGCTTTCCATTCTGAAAAGAGGCCCAATTGGCTACTAGTATGTATTCAGTTGTGGGACAAGTAGGTGGTCAGTTGTGGGCTAGTAGGTGGTCAGTTATGGGACAATTAGGTGGTCAGTTATGGGACAAATAGCTGGTCAGTTGTGGGCTAGTAGGTGGTCAGTTGTGGGACAAGTAGGTGGTCAGTTGTGGGCTAATAGGTGGTCAGTTGTGGGCTAGTAGGTGGTCAGTTGTGGGCTAGTAGGTGGTCAGTTGTGGGCTAGTAGGTGGTCAGTTGTGGGCTAGTAGGTGGTCAGTTGTGGGACAAGTAGGTGGTCAGTTGTGGGCTAGTAGGTGGTCAGTTGTGGGACAGGTAGGTGGTCAGTTGTGGGCTAATAGGTGGTCAGTTGTGGGACAAGTAGGTGGTCAGTTGTGGGCTAGTAGGTGGTCAGTTGTGGGACAAGTAGGTGGTCAGTTGTGGGCTAGTAGGTGGTCAGTTGTAGGACTAGTAAGTGGGCAGGTGTGGGACTAGTAGGTGATTAGTTGTGGGACAAGTACAAAGTCATTACGATTGGCAGCAGATGGACATAACTTTCCACAAGTTCTTACTTTTCGTCTCATTTACATGAACTTTAACCTTTACATTTATTGTGGATATCACATCATTGCTTGACAGTGCATGTGATAAATGTCTTTCCATTAATTGTGCGTTCATCAAAGACTAGGGTTGGCTACACGATTAGTTTTGCATCAATATCAGTTATGTGACTTACCTGTAGACCGTCGTGCAGGTCAGGGGTGTATCCAGTTTTGTGTAAAAATAGGGGGCAATTAAAGATAAAGTTGAGTTCTAGTCATGCGATTGCATTGTGAAAGAAACGGTGTGGAACCGACCAGAAAAGGTTGATCATCTAGCATATAAGAATTTGTGTGTATTGCAAGGTTCTGGAATCATCAAAATGATAAGAAATTTGGCCAAGTCTTGGTAAAGTTACAAACACTGTACACAGAAAGATGTATATGGGACTACTCGAACACGTGGCGTAAAAAGCCGGCCCCCCCCCCCCCTATTTTTACGATGTTACATGCATATTTGGAATATGAAGGCATTTGAAGAGCCATTCACTGCAGTTACTGCCCCTTTTCAGGGAACATGTCTTATCTGATGTTCTTCCACACTTGCATAATAAGAATGAGTAACGCTCACAAATTATTTTTCACCTCTTCCCAGAACTCAACCTTCTCTTTAAAGGCGGATCTTGAGAAGTAAAAAAAAATCAGTTTGAAAATGGGAACACAATTAACCTGTGGATGACCAAGTTATCATATTCACCATAGGTTTGATACAGAAACAACCTGGTTCCAGTTGGCAATGGGTTCAGGAGGGCTTATATTTCCTCTTTTTGTTCTTCAGTATGCCACTCAGTATTCAAAGAGGGGCGGAAGGGGTGGGGTGGGGGATGGTCATGTATTTGTGCATCTATGTTTGCTTCCTGAAATATCAACTTTTGACTGACATGTTTTAAATCAACCTAGCACCCATCATTTTGTCATTCAAATCCAACCTCAACCTCAACGTCAGTTTTTATTCATAGGATGCTGAGAGTGAAGTCATCTACACAAGTAAATGTAAACCTTTTTCTTACCATAGGAGCATTGGGGAAGAAAGAGGACCCATACACAGATCTAGACTATGGCCATGAGTACTACCCCCTCAGGGTCGGGAGTATTGCAGATGAGGGGACGTAAAACTGCGACCAAAATCACTCATTTTTTAAGTTTGTAAGGGATCCATTGTTTGTACCTCTTCAAATGCAATAGATGATTAGAAAAAAAGCAAAGTATCTGCTGCTATAAAGAGGAGTAAATGCCATTCCAAAAAATAAGCGAACCAGTTAATCAAGTATTTGCATTATCCATCTCTTTTTTCATGCTGTTCTGAATATCTTATTTCTTTTTGGTTGTATTCTGATGATAAAATCTTTAGGCAATGTTTCACGAAACCGTCAAAATTATAAGTTCATCGACATCCCATCGCAACGTATGTTGATTAAGATACCCATGTTTCGATGGGATGTCGGTGTACTTGTACTTATGACGGATTAGTGAAACGCTGTCCACTGTGGGCAGCAAATGTAGACAAAACTAGCTTGTGAAAAGAGATCCCTGGTGATCACTTAGACATGCATCAGGGTCTCTGTGGTTATTCTTGCGTGCTGCAGTAACGGATGTAAACCTCGGTTGCAAGGCCTTGTCTGTAGGCCAAGAGAGACATCTTCAAAATATCTTTATTTCATTTTTTTTCTCAATATCTTTTCTTCGATGCTGAAGATATTTTTGCCCATTTTTCTTCATTTGCTCTTTACCTCTTCGCTTGATTGGTATTTTCATCTGAATCTTCTTTTTCTCTTTATTTTCTTTTACGTCTTTCCTTTCAATATCTCTTTTTATTAATGCTGAAGAGATTTTTTGCCCTCTTTCTTCTCTACCTCTTAACTTGAGCGGTATTTTAATCTAAATTTGCTGTGCCTTTCATTCATTAACCTTCATCATTTTATATCCCTTTCATGTATAGGCCCTGTTGTCCCTCCCAGATATAAATACAAATATAGATAGTCAAGGTGAACATGAGTTAAGAGCATGGTGCTTTTGTTCTTGCTGGATTTCTTGTGCTGATGATTATTATTTTTGTTCGGTTTTCGCTACTTTTAATTTTGTTATGCATTTTGAACACTATTCATGATACTGATGCAATTTCTTTGTTAGCAATGAAAGAAATAATGCATGATTTTGTACCAGAGAAAAGAAACTGTGGAAAGCTGTAAAAGTGTTCTGGAAAAATATGAGAAAATGTTGATTTGCACCCTTATGTTTCAATTGCTAGCCTTACAATACAAAGTAGTTACAGTTAAAGGTAAAGACCAGTATTGGAAACGCCCCAATTTCAAAAAATGAAATGGAAGCTCTCATTACCAATCATGTGAAAGAATATGTTTTGACTAATACATGATGATAAAAAAATTGCCGGGAAACCGCCTACTAATTCATATATTTGGTAAATTTGTTTCTCTCATGGTCTGTGAGAGATATAGGGTAGTCCCATACACATCTTTCTGTGTATAGTGCTTGTAACTTTACGAAGAATGGGCAAAATTTCTTATCATTTTGATGATTCCAGAACCTTGCCGATGCTAGATGATCAACCTTTTCTGATCGATTCCACAACGTTTCTTTCACAATGCAATCGCATGACCATTACTGGTCTTTACCTTTAACAACTACATTATTCATACCCATTGTAAATTTGATGTTTTTGTGTATTTTGTAACTTGAATTAGAACTCTTTGCTGAATACCTTTGGATTTAAGCTTTAATATTCCACATTATCAAAAACATAAAACGGGACATATCAATTTGTCACATACAAAAAAAATACAAAACTTGGTTTTCGAAGGGTATGAATAATTTACTTTTTAACTGTCAAAGTTACTGTAAATTCACAATTTTTTGAGAAATGAAACTGCAACAAGTTGCAAACAGTGGCAGTTTTCATGAAAATATCAATTTGTGAATTGCAAAAATTTATCCTTGTGTTAATTGTGAATCATTTATTTTGTGTCGTGAAACTTTGCAAATTCGAATCACTCGCAAATGTACGAACATTTCACGCACGCCAAAGATTTTGGTTTTACAGTACAAATCCACACATACTTTAATACATGAGACTTGTTTTGTTATTTTTAAAATGTAGTAATGTAATTTTCCATCAAAGGAGTTTGAAAAAAATTATAGTGAAAAATGATCATTAATTCATAGCAAGTTTTACTGGACTGGGCTTGTGTGCATGTGAAAATGTAACAAAAAATATAATTTGCTTAATTGTCATTTTCATAACTAGTGTGCTTGAAATGATAGCATTCCCCCTGCAATAACAATAGTTATTTGTAATTTTTGTTGGGGGGAGGGGGTGGGGTGGGGATGGGAGGAATCTAGGGGTCCTTGTGAAATACATTATTTTGAATGCATTAAACACAATTTTTTTTTATTGCCTGCCTGCTTGCAGCATGTCATGGTGGTTAGAATGCTTGAATAACTCTTCATTTGAAAAGCGTGTTAATAATTGAAGGCTCAAGCTTGCACTTTCCTAAATTTATGTTTATTTAACCCATTTTTTCCTCTGAAAGCCAATCATTTTCAATATTTGCGTGCAGACAATAATGCAAACAATAATGGTAATAAAGACTTGCACCGTGGTTTCAATATTCTATTTTCCTCAATCTTTTCAATCATTTTGCAAAAGGTGGATGAGAGGAGAGAAGATTTCTAATTGCTGGTTAAGGAACCATTTGCTGTAATTAGCCTCAGACTTAATTGGCTCTCAACCTCTTAGGTGTTAAATTGCTTCAATACGGCATATTTACGAGCTCTCATTACTTCCTTGGAATGGGTTGTCCATGCTCTCTCTCTCTCTCTCTCTCTCTCTCTCTCTCAAAATAAATTGAGTTCTATATATGAAGTCTTTAAAACAAATGCATGGTAAAGGCTCATCCAGATATGACATGGCAAAACCGTGGTGCCTTTTGTATGATGACATACAGTGTAACACGTTTCTGTATCTGACATGTCGTCACCTTCTTAAAATAATGGCCTAAGTCATATTTTCAAGATTTGAGAAAAACAGAGAAAACTGAACCAAACATAGAGTATATTATATTTTGTGGGGCATTTTACACAGAAAGGTTTGGGGATATATATGACTATTGAAACACAAATAATGCTGTCTATTAAATCTGTTTGATGAGAGGATTAGACTACTCATGTACTTTTTGGTTTACTCAATAATATATATTTGTTTTTCTTCACATGCTTGACTTAGGCCATTATACTAACTAGTTATAAGCAACATCAATCTGTTCAGTTCAGCATTATGTGATTTAACAAAGGTGGATAGCCTAATGGAGAGATGACTTGGGCAAAAAATACAATTTTCTTCAAAATGTGATTTAGGCCATTATTTTAAGAAGGTGACGATGTATAACACTGAGCTCAGTGAATACACGCAAGGCCTTGTCGCACGCAGTTTCCATTCGTCTACCCCTTTTAAACAAACGTAGCAGATTTGTTTGCAAGCGGTTTAAAGCGTCATATTTGAACAAGCCTAAAGACACAATAGACGGGGTCTTGTAAAAGTACTTGACTCACTACAACATGCTTTTTTATAGCAGAGATTTGAAACGTAATGTTATTTATAATTTTTGAATCTCGCTCTACATGGAATCACTGCAAAGTCTCAGAGCCTCCCATGCTCTAATATTGTGATGTTTTAAATTGATAAAACCTGTAGGTATTTGAGCCAGTTATGGTTCTAGAAGGGGGTTTAACTGATTTTAAGCATGACTTATGTATTAAAATGAATGCAAGAACTCAAAGCCTCTCCCCTCTACATCTGTACATCTAGTATGAGCAATGATTCTTTACTTTTCATTTAATTGCTTGTTTTTATTTCTGCTTTTTCATTTTAACGACACATTTTATTAATGCAGGTATTGCAGTTATTTCTGTCTTTCATATCCATTGTAAGGATGTATCTGAAATATCAATAACTAACCAGCATTCCTGCAGCGTTACGAATCAAATATCATTTTTTTTTTTTTTTTCTAATAACACCAATTTGAATACACCATAGCTCATAGAGGGTACACCTAAATGTGTTTTCTATCCTTATTCTTGATGTATTACCAGTATCCAATTCACATGATACCTGACCCCCTTCCCCATGCCAAGAAGAATGGACTGGTTTACTAACATATTCAAATGTTATGCATACTCTTTAAGCAGAGTTTGTTCTTGACAACCTGAATGCTTGCTTAAGGTTCGCCCGGCATAGCAACAAGTAATGTATGCAGACTGGATTCCAAGTATTGTAGTTCATTTATGAATATTAAACAAGTTGATAGATTAACTCGTCACTATAGGTCCCCAGGAAATAAACATCCATAATTTTGAAAAGTTAGTAAATCTGTCTATTGGCCTCAATATGTGCTTATACTGTAGATCCAATATAACCAGTGTTGGTTCTGTTCATTTTTTTAATTATATTTATTTTATTTTCCGTTACACATGGTGAAATTTTCTACCAATCTAAACAGGCAGTTTAAAATCCTTTTAAAAAAACATAGTACTAGTAGTTATCCATGAGGTTATGCCTATGAGATACACGACAGGTGTTTGGTTTCTTTGTTATCTTTGTATTTAAAAAAAAAAGTGTTTTTACTGAAATTTCTTACTTTTTATAGATCTTTAACAAAATGAAATAAAAAAAGAAACCACTACTGAATGTTTCGTAAGTTTTGTATTTTGTGTGATTTCTGTTCCAGATTTCCACCACCTTAAGATGGATGATTCAACTGCAGGTGACCAAGGAGGACAGCAGACCACAGCAGAGAAGGAGCACAAACTCCGTGCGGCCGTTAACAACAACCGCATTTCAAGCGAGGTGAAGGACACGTTTACGGACGACGAGGAAGACGATGAAGCGATCTACTGTAATGTTCCCAGCTAGTTTTGACAGGACGGGAGCAATATCCAAAGAAATGTTATATTCATGAGCTGTATTGCAAAGATTGAAGTTGGAACTCAGCTCCAATCCCCCATTCATGAACCCTAGTTCCTGTTGACGACGTGTGGAGATTTCTGAAACAATTTTGTTCTGTAATGATTCCAGGGGGGTGTTTCACATAGATCCTAAGTTGAACTTATCTCTATGTTGGACTTAACAATTATGGAAAGCCGTTAGCATCTTAGAAAATATTTGTTTAAAGTTATTTTGAAAGGCATAAGATGGTGATTCAAATCATTCATATTTTCTATTATCAAGGAGACTTCATGTTCTTGATGTGGAATCTATGAAAAGTCAAAAATACTTGAATTTTTGCTTTTGAATATATTTTATTTTAAGGCTACAAATGGCTCTTCGTAATGTTTAAGTCCAACTTAGAGTTAAGTTCCACTTAAGATCTTTGTGAAACATCCCCAGGATCCCTGCTGTCAATATAATGCAGGGTCTGAAAGAAAGACTACATTTTATCACAACTCGTTACCCACACTGCAACATTGCTGATCCTGAACTATGGCTAGACTGATTAAGGATTTGAACAAGTCTTCTTGTATTTTTTAAGAGCATCACAATCGATGAGCCTATCAGTGACTTTTGAAAGGTGAAAGCCTTCGTAATTAAATGCTGTTATAATGATAGCATGTCTGCCCTGTTATGGTCCAAATTTGATTTGAAATTCTAGGTCTGTTTGTAAGTGTATATGGTTTTAAAGCTGGTTGAATGATTGCTCACTTTCTGATGTGTAATGATCTGCACATGTTTCTTTAAATCTCTTTAATAATAATAAAAATAGTGAGTTCCCTTGTATAGTGCTCTGTCAGATATGACATTCCTGGCGCTCCACAATTATTACCCCGACTCTAGCATTCACGAAATGAATTCCAGCCAGGTACCCTTTTACCTCACCTGGATGGAATGTGGCAAATGCAGCTTTATGCCTTGCCAAAGGAAATTAGTGTTGCGGTGGGACTTGAACCACGAACCATGTGATCCACAGTCAGATTTCGTATCCACTAGACCACGACACCTCCACATGTATTGGGTCAGTGTATCAACTGTTACATCCTCAGCTGTCTGTTCTTATCTGCACAACTTTGTGAGTGAAATGCGTATGCCTTTTTCAGGGATTTTTCAGCATTTGATATGCCTTCTTGCATTACATTGGAACTAATGTTTATGTATTGGTATGAGTAAGTCTGCACTTTTCTTGTGGTTATTCCAATGTTAGATCTTTCGCTGATGTTTTAGAAACAGTTTGCGATCTGGCTTATCATTGAAAGTTGATTGATCAAACAATATTTCATATGGAAATCATGAAGCCTCAGTACAAACCAAACAAAGAAATATATAAACACAATACAACACAAATAATAAAGTGCAGGATTGTATCTTACGCATTTTGCCATTTTGTTGTCGCAAGTATGTATGTAAGTATGTATGTAAGTATGTATGTAAGTATGTATGTGTGTGTGATTCTGGAAAGTAAAACTAAGAGAAAAGGATGTGATATCAGAGATATTTTTTATATATAAGAAACAGATATACAGATAAGTCTTTTAGAAGTCCCCATTGCTTCTGTGAAGGCTTGTTGTCTTTCTTAGCTTAAGTCGAGAAAAGAAGAGTATTTACTTATGTAACAAGTTGAAGCTTGTGACATTGTAATTTATAATTTTCATTGCACTTGTAACTCATTTAAGTCTTTCACAATATACTCCGATACATGTATTGCAATCTTCACATTTCTGAATTATACATACCGTAGTCACTTAGATATGAAACATATTATTAAAGATAAACTTGTGTTCTGGTAATGCGATTGCATTGTGAAAGAAAAGGTGTGGAATGGATCAGAAAAGTTGATCATATAGCATGTCAGTAATGGTGTGTAATGCAAGGTTCTGGAGTCATCAAAATCATCATAAATTTTGCAGAGTCTTGGTAAAGTAACAATCACTTACACAGAAAGATGTATATGGGACAACACACATGGTGTCAGGGTTAGTACTACCCTGATTTCCTTATCTTTATATGCTCATTACTCAGCCAGTATACATTTTCTTCAAAAATTGTTTGGCACATGACATTTATTTGTAATCTTGAACATTCAGTGTAAGTTTGGTTAGATTCTGTGAGAATTCATTTTCTTTTTTTACCAGAACTCAAGTTTATCTTTAAAACAAATGTATTAAGGGATATGCATTTATGTCTTTCAACTCATATGTAATACCGGTAGATGTAGAAGGAGTTAAGTATTATCTGTTTGGAGCCAGAAGGGCATTAACTCATATACTTTTACATAGAGTTGTTGTTATGCCCTTACAGATCTTAAAGATAAACTTGAGTTCTGGTAAAAAAATAAAATGAATTCTCACAGAATCTAACGAAACTTACACTGAATGTTCAAGATTACAAATTACAGATTACAAAGAAATGTTGGATTACCTTTTGAAAGACCTACACTAAATTAAATGTAATATTATTTTTCATCAAAGGCAAGGTCACTGACTTGAGCCGTTTCCTTTGTGATATGTCAAGTCACCAACATCATGATGTGCGAAGCTGAAATTATTATATGGTGCTATAATTGAGAGTGTAAAACTTTGCATTATAAACACTGTGCTCACACACTTCTGCTTTTGGTTGGAAATAATGCGGAATTCAGATTGACATTTTCTTGTTTTACAGGAAGCCATACATGTTAATATTGTATGGTTTGACTCTGTTGAATGCAAGGTTCTAAGTACAGTTAAAAATCCAAGCAGCTTCTTAATGAATCAGAAAAAATATAAAATAAAAAATTGCAAACAGTAAAAACTGAGTAATTTACTTGTTAGGAAAAGTGCATACAGAAATGTATGTTTAAATGCATATTTAAATGCATGCCTTAGATTTATACAATCATGTTTAATAGTATATTTTCACAATGATGATTGTAATGATTTTTTTTTCCAATTTATTATTGTCCTCTTCATGATCCAGAAAACTGGTTGTAGTATTTTTAAAGTCTAATGATGTCTAATGGAACAATTCAATTTTATGGTTTACATTTTTCTATCTATACTTATTCTGTCTATTTTCTCTAGTTGTATGAAGCAGGCATGCAGTACGTAACAATGGAATATCAATCGAATTTGATACATTTAAATTCATTATTCAGTAATTCAGTGCAGTTTGTTGAACAGTATGCTTGCATCTTTGGACGTTTTAAAAATATAATTCTTAGAACAAATATCTTTATTATATTATTATAGTTTCAAAAAAAATAACTTATGATAGTAAATATGTCACTTTAAAAGGGAAATAGGATGCAAGATTTTAAATACAGATCCAAGTTTGAACTTCTTCTCTATGAATAATAAATAAAGCCCCCAATATACAAACTTTGGCCAAAAAAAAATTCATTCATTTACTTGTCAGCAACAGTACATACAGGAAAAAACATATAAATGCATGTCTACCGGTAAGTCTAAGGTTTATACAATCGCCATCATTGGTAGATTTTGTTTGGTTTAATGTATTTAGAATCTTTTAGAGAGACAATATTTATTATAATTTAATATTTTAAAAACCATAAGTAATTTTTTATTTTGATTTCTTACACTACCTCTGTCTGTGTAAAATTGGTACATTCATTGGTGGAAGGCAGGTTTTACCCAGTGAAGGTGGTTTACTGACAGTACTAGCATTCTAAAGGTACTTAAATGATGTAGAGGGCACACGTATAGTTGAGCTCTTGTGTCATATAATATATTTTAGGTGTAAAAATGTAAGAAATTTCACGTTCTGTGAACTCATATTTTTTCAAATAATGCAAATACCAGTAGTGTGTTGTGAATGTTGTACAACATATATGAATATAATATTTATATATATTCCTATCTCTTTCAGTTAATTATATGTTACTCAATTGCTCATTGTGTGATTTTATAATAGAAAGATGGCCTTTAAATAATTATGAAAAGTCAATTTTTTCTACAGATGATATATTGAATAATCTTGTTGTGGATATTGGTATATCCCGTTTTATTTACGACTTGACTGTAAGCTTTATGCCTCACCACATTATCAAGATGCATAAGATTTGTTTTTTAATGCTTTTATTTTTGCAGATATGTAGCAATTTTATATTTATGTAGCCCTATCACAGAATACACATACAGTGTCTTTCCATTTCAATCAATAGTTCACTACATTTCTTGTGTAGATTCATTCTATTTCAGAAAATTGTCTCCAAATTAGACATATATCATGGATTGTATATATTGCTCTTTACGTGTATATTATAAGGTTGTATTATCAGGAATCTCTTGTTCAATTGTTTCTCACCAGCATTTATTATTAATTAATAAAAGGGAAGTACCTTTTTAAACAAAGAACTTGATTAAAACTTTGTTTGTGTATTGTGATGTTTAAATTCAAAATATTTATTCAAAGTATATTCAACACTCTTCATAAAAACATATAAACAAATACAGAATGGAAAGATAAAAAAGAACAAGATAGTGATAAAAATTGCAGTGGCAATTTATGAGAGCATTTGGGATAAACAGAGAAGAGGGATACCTTGAAAAACGCCGTATTAGATTTGAAGGCAGATTGACGAGATCATCTGGAGTGGGACAAATTTTCATTTTAAAGATAAAGATCAGTTATGGTCATGCGATTGCATTGTGAAAAAAAACGTTGTGGAATCGATCAGAAAAGGTTGATCATCTAGCATATACGTATTGGTGTGTACTGCAAGGTTTTGGAATCATCAAAATGATAAGAAATTTGGCCCAGTCTTCGTAAAGTTACAAGCACTGTACACATAAAGATGTATACGGGACTACGCACACGTGCGTTTAGCTCTCACATAACAATAGATAAACTAATGTACCAAATATATCAATTAGTAGGCGGTTTCCCGGAAAAAATTTTATCATCATGTATTAGTCAAAACATATTCTTTCACATGAATGGTAATAAGATCTTCCATTTCATTTTTTGAAATTGGGGCGTTTCCAATACTGGTCTTTACCTTTAAAGTGAAATGGACACACATACACCCTCCGTATCTTTTCCCGTATTTCTCCTATTTTTCACTCACATACTTTTATCTCATCACATCTCAATTTCTTTTTCTTCTCTGCTGTATGCTACATCAAGCTAGGACGCAGTTAAGAACACTCCAAAGCATATGTCGATATTCATTTAATCATCACTAATTCACATAATATTTTATTCTTGAATCTATCTCCTTATATTATCTCACGTTCTGTTGTCCTTTTCCTTCATCTCTCCTGCCCCCCCCCCCCCACCCCCCCCCCCCGTAGCTACGCCACTGTGAATACGATTGCAAAAATCAATATCACCATAATCCAATAGGCTCGTAAATATATTACAATTTTTTCAATGTTTTCTTTCTTCTGTAGTTAAGACATAAAACATAAGAATTAATGAAAAGTGAAGAACAAGACTTTTCTACTATTTTGACAAGTTGGTGAAAAATAAAATCTTTGTAAGTGAGATTTATAAAAGGGATACATTATGAACAAACATACTGGTTGATTGAATTCCTGTTCACTAAAGCACCCTACTTTACATACTGACGAAAGTAACACTTTGTAAGAGGAAACGTTGTTCTAAATAGTTGATAAACATTTTCAACACCTAATTTGACTGCATTGAGGAATATACATTTTGCATATAAAAGGATTAAAACTATCCCACAAAAATAGGTTTCACGTGTTCATATATCATTTGATTCGGGGAAAAGTTTAGTTTTGTTTTTTCTTATTTTTTCTTTTTTAATATTTTTAATTTTGTTTTAATTACATTTTCGCGCCAAGAACAGAGGACTAGAACACAGTATATTTAATATACCATGTGGGTATGTTTGCCTTAAACCATAATGCATGGCCCTACAGAGGAATTTGTCCTGTTGGGAACTGGGGGGAAATGCAATGAATTATTGAAAATCTATTGCATTTTCTTCGTTTTTTGGTTTTTGTGGGGGCGTCGACCCGCGACGTACCCTAGCGCCCGCTGCGTACAGTCATGATTCATTGGCTAAGCAATGGCCTCGTTACTGTGAGCCCCCAGGATCAAAACCGTGTCGATGTGCTATATTAGTGCCCTTTTATGAGGCATTAATCCCCATTGCTGTCAGTTATGACTTAAGGACGTAGGTCCCCTAGTTGATTAGCATAGTAGCACACACATGCTTTAGCAGTCACGCAAAACAAACACTCCCCAATTGTCATTCAATACAATCTGAGAATGTATAATATTATCTAGATCTATTAGGAATAAATCATTGTCAAAATCATTCAATACATTGGGGTAAAAATAATTATTCCACCATTATGGCCAACAGTGTATATACTATTTAGAAAAAAATAACAAAAAAGCAACAAAAACAAAAGGCTGTGATGTACATTTTGTATGGGTAGCTTCTATAGCTAATTCGAGCAGAACACATGTAAATTTGTCATTGTTTTTTAATTTTGAACCTTGTTTAGCAAGTGGACTAAAATGATTTTTTTTTTTCGTTCGTCATACATTAATAATAATTATAGGCATTTCTATGGCGTCGTCTATCTATCTAGAAATTCTATTCCGAGGCGCATTCAATATTACCCCGGCTTTAGCCTAGCTGCCATTACAGCGCTCTAGCATTTCAAAGAATTCATTACTGCCAGGTATCCATTTACCTCACATGGGTTGAGTGTGGCAAATTTAGATTAAAGCCTTCATAAAGGACATTAGTGCCGTATCAGAAACCGAAACGGGAACCGAACCACGACCTTTGAATTTCAAGTCAAGCGCTTAAACCACTCGACTACGACACGTCCACTATTTTTTGCATTAGTATACCATCCAGGCACATCCCTCCATTGAGGCAGGGGTAACTCACGCATTCAAGGGTCAATAGCACAATATATGTGAAAAAATATACCTTGGCCAGCCATACTTAGCATGGCGGCAATCTTGAAAAGCTTATAAACAACTGATTGCAATAATATCGATTGTATGCTATTTAAGTGCCTGTAGGAGAAGTAACAGCTCTCTGAAAACTCGAAATCAGTAGCTTTGAAAACGGAAGTTGTCGACCTAAAAACTAGCTTCTACTTCTACGACGATACTCAGCAGGATCCATAAGTCAGGATGTATAGTGCTGAGGTGATGAGTTAGTATCGACTTGATGACATCATCTTATGTGGAGTGCGCATATTCACAATGACTTTAAATTGATTAAGCATGACTCATCACCTCAGCTATATAGGCGAGACGACCAGGTCCACTTGTTACATCGTCACCGTGACTGAGGCAGATATGACCCCTGTTGACCCGTAATTTAGAGGGGAGCGGGAAATGAGGTTCATTTGCTTTTGTGCAATACTGATACATTGATATAAAGTTGTATTTTGAATTGAACATATTCACCACTTTCATAACATGCAAAGTCAAAGAATACAAAAAATATCTCTTACAAATGATAACACAATAAAATTTGTATATACATCATCATATCAGTTATCATAAAATTACTGCACAATAATGACAAAACTTAAAAACAGATGAAAAACGTCAAACAATACGGAAATAGTGGGTAACACTTCCTTTTATACAGTGTATATCATAGGATATATATAATACCTAAGAACATTTTTGTATTTTCATAGTTAAGTTGCAGTTTGTTTGCAACTTTGCGTTCATCCACTCACTAACTTTTAGAAAAGGGTCTTTAACTTACTGGAAAATAGTTTATTCAGTTACATGCATGTCGATGTTCTGAATTTTAAAAATTGATATCCTTTATCGTTTTCTGAATTATGAATGTTACTGAAGTGCGGCTGCAGAGAGTGTAATTCACAGGTTTGTCGGAGATTCTGAGAGATTTTTCCCGGCGAACTGTACCCGACCTTTGTACATCTGATCGTACATGTGAGCATAGCGATGCTCATGTATACCCATATGATCACGAGCCGATACGTCCAGACCTAAAATATCAAAATCATCTCGACCGGTCAACCAGTACGTGTACATGGTGCCTTTACCCTGGAAGTGAAAGAAGAAAACAATTACGTAACGAACAAATAGAATTGTGGAATAAGAAAAGGTTAAAGTGGCTCTAGCACCGGGCCACTTTTAAAGCGATACTGAACTGATGAACTTTCTGTCCTAGCGTTCTGTTCATTTCCATAATTTATTAAACCTGCCGTAGCAACAAACAACGAACTCAGTTTCGTTGACGATCAGCCATGTGAAGTCTTTCGTCTTCTTTGTTGTTAGGGCAGACAGCCAGAGGAACGGATTCGTTTAAAGGCCCACTGCACTACTGGTAGCTACTTGCGCCCTCTTTATAACAAACAATGCCTAATCGGTGACCATTGGTCCCCCACGATCCTCTTTTTCTTATGTTAACTGAGAGCTGAGTTGATGAGATAACCACCTGTCCAGTGACCTTGCAGAGCGGTCTAATCCCTCCTGTAAACTACGGCAGATAAGCTTTAATAGAATTATGGAAATGCAAGCATTACTTTACACAAACAGAATTTTGTTATTCCTGGCTCACTTTTCCTAATTGAGGTGTCATTATGAAAGGGCAAAAAATGAACTTTCTAGAAATGTGATTTTCTCTTTGAAATTTAGATACTGTTCGCCAAATGACTTTTTGGTACCCTTTCTTCAAACTGTTTTTTTAATCACTCATGCGTGGAATGTCCTTCATATGAGTTACATTAAATGAAAGAAGGAGAATCTAAGCTTTTCAAAATATGTGTCATTTAGTAATTATAATTGTGATTAAGTTATGATAAAACATCGATAATTCTCGGTTTTGATTTTCTGGGACGCATTGTATAGGAAAGCAGCGAGTTTTGGGACCACAGCCGACCTCAGGAGATGGCACTAGAGGGGATTTTGTGGTATTACTTCTAGGACAGGATGGCTTTAAACACCCATGCATGGATACCCTCTAGTTTGCTATTATTTCTATAACATTGTACATTACGTCACGCATGATACAATGTAAAACTAAACAAAATATTTTATTTATAACTTGCTTTACTTAGAATATTTTCGGTATTGTTGGCCTGAACTAATAATAACAGAGCGATGATAGAAACATAAATACAAATAGCATATACATGTCCATGTATATACATGGAATTTTATTGGTATCTCATTACAATCACAAATACGGTGAAAAAAGGGCCAATCTTGAAGGGGAAAAAAGTTCAACAAACTCACCCTTATATCAATCTTTCCACGTTTGACAAAGCTGTATCCTCCCCATTCCAATAATCCCATGTATGTCTCGTGACTCACATGGATCTGTCCAGCTGTATCACAAACACAATAATTATGTGAAGAAAAAAAGTTAAAACATTATACTCCAACGATTTTAGATGAAAATATATCGAAACATATCTATGTGTACCAATGCATGTATAAAGTTATATAATCAAAGGCACAGAAAACTTATTTTAGCTCTTAATCTTGACATCAGTAGGGGGGATCAGTGAGAAGCACCACCACCAACAACAACAACACCATCATCACTATCAATACCACCACCACCAACGCCATCATCACATCACCAACAACACCATCATCACCACCACCAACAACACCATCATCATCACCACCACCACCACCACCATCACCACCACCATCACCAACGCCATCATCACCACCACCAACAACACCATCATCACCACCACCACCACCACCACCATCATCACCACCACCACCACCACCACCACCACCAACACCATCATCACTACCACCACCAACACCATCATCACTACCACCACCACCAACCAACGTCTTCATCACTACAAACATCACCACCACCAACGCCATCATCACTACCACCACCACCACCACACCCGCCACTACCACCAATACCACCACCAACAATACCACCATCACTACCACCACCACCACCACACCCGCCACTGCCACCAATACCACCACCACCAATACCACCATCACCGCCACCGCCACCACCACCGCCACCAATACCGCCACTAGAATTGATGTATCATGCTGTACGTTACTCACGGAGCCCAGTAGTTTGCATCCTAGAAGCTGTGTTGACTGTGTCTCCAAAGAGACAATATCGAGGCATCTTCAAACCGACCACGCCAGCAACCAATGAACCTGATGCAAAGAGAAATACGGTACAGTCAAATCTGCTATAGTGACCACCTGTCTATAAAGACCACATGTCTACAAAGACCACGTTTTTTGTTTCCCTTGAAAATGGTTTCTCATTGAAACATGTAATAAAGGAACCTGTCTACACAGACCATCTGTCTACAAAGACCACCATGTTTTGTGTTTCCATTTGAAAATATCATGGGTAAGACAAATATAAACTTTATTAAACATAGTTTTAGTGCAAATTTCCAGTCATTTATGATTGCTAAAATCTCACAGTTATATTAACAATTTCTTAATTAAAGTGATTACACGTTTTTGTATAGCGCATAACACTACGGCATAATTGCATGTCTCTATGAGCTTTAAATAATAGAATACAGAAAGAGTGGAAATGGTGTGCTGTGTTTATTATTGTGAGATCTTACAAAGTGCTAAATAGATATGTTTTCAAATTATCTTCTGAACCTTTCGTTAGTTTCTATATTTCTAAGCCGGTATTCCAGCAAGGTATATGCCATAACTTGAACCATTCATTACCCATGTGTATTCCGAAGCGAACTTTGATCTTCATGTGAGGTTTGTGAGGAACCTCTAAAATGTTCACGTGATGTCTTAGGTCAAGGGTCACCGTGGCAATTTCACAAACATGTCGATCATAGCGCTCTGGAACACCTGGAATTAGTGTGAAAAGAAATGACAATTTTAGACATCCGACATTATCAATGCAACATTTTGTGCGTTCGAGATATGAAGTCAGTCATTGTATGTCTTAATAATAATAATAGCTCACATTTATAATGCGCCTAATACTACGTTTCTAGGCGCGGAACATATTATTACCCCGGTCATCGGAATCAGGCTTACCCGCATACAAGGTATGCACATTATCCACTCCCTGGGGAGCATTCCAGCCAGTCGCCATTTTACAAGCGCCATTGCTAATCAAACCACATTAGCTTTCGCATCCTACAGGGTACCCATTTTAACACCTGGGTGGAGAGTGATAAATGTCTTGCCAAAGGACATTAGTGCCGCGGCGGGACTTGAACCGCGGACCTTGTGATCCACAGTCCGGTGACATATCCACTCGACCACAACACCTCTACAATGTCTTCATTAAAATAACATAATTATTAACTTACAAGTGTCTACAAGCACATCAATCATCTCACACATCCCTCTTCCCCCTCACACACACACACACACACACACCCGCGCACACTCACACACACCGCACTCGCAAATACACACTTTTTTCTTTACGTGGTGATCTTTATTCGATTTCATTCAACATTAATTATATTCCACTCACTGAAAAAGTATTGAAACATTTCAATTGAAACATTAATACATAAAGAAATTTAGTAATGATAATAATAACATTCAATAATCAGAGCAGGTACAAACAAATATGATAATAAAAATGGACATATTTCAATACATTAAATGAGAATTAAAAAGATGGTAAACTGCAATGTGTTATGAAATATATAAATTAGCCCCTAACCTTTCACAATTATTGTAACCATGTTACAGTGACTCTATTTCCCTCGATGCTCTTTGAATCCAGAAAACCCTCCTCTAATTCCTACCATTATACCATCCGCCGCCCCCGAACCACACATAAACACGCCCATACACACACAGACACACGCACACAAACACACACACACGCACAAAACAAAGCTAACGTTTTCATTCTTGATAAATTCACTAAGAAGAGAAAAAGTGTTGATGAAAAAAATAAAAATTCTACATGTACTAACATTAATTCGTTCCTTCAAGTCTGTTTAGATGCAGTGTACTTCGTGACACTGGATGTTGTTTAATACTTTACCATTTTTGTAAATGTATCTCTAACTTATCTCGTCATCACTATCACTACATCATCATCATTATCGTCATTATCACCATGTTCATCTTCAACCTTCTCCTACTCCTCCTCCCCCTCCATCTCCTCCTCATCATCACCACCATCGTCATCAAAACCCTCCAACAAACAATATAACAAACGTTATACAATTACTCTTTAGGCCTCTACTAACCTGATGCGAGCATGTACGTTTCGTTGACGGTTTCGACTTTGTATACATCGTAAAGTTCAATCCGAGAATCAAATAGCAAATATAATCCATTCAGCATTTCTACAACCTGTGCAAAAAAGAGAAATAGTTTCAAGGAGTCCCGAGGGGTGTTTCACAAAGACTAAAATTGACTTTAAGTTGGTCTTAACTATGCCACTGTTTTCTCTCACCGTTATGATCTTTAGATAATATTTTTCTTCAATAATGAATTATCAAAAGATGTACATTCTGTAGATGTGTGACCGTGATTTGTACGTCCTTTAAGAGAACAATGCCAGTAAATAGTGAGAGCAAACAGTAGCATGAACGGCCTGCCAAAGTTAAGTTCAACTTAAAGTTGATCTTAGTCTTTGTGAAACACCCCAACTTAATACATATCGCAATGTGATTCATCGAAAGTTTTAAGAATAGGAAACGTCTCAGACGTAAACACAGCTCGATAATTCCACGCCCCGATAACGCCCCGTCCATTCGAACCAAACATTATTTTTCTATTAAAAATACATTAATTTCATAAATACCCTATGGTGATAGGGCTTAGATATTCATTAACATGACTGATTATCATGATAAAGTCTTTAAAAAAACCAATGAAAAAAAAAAAGATTTTGGATTCAACCAATGAAAAAAATGATAGGACCAGAGAGCACAAGATTAAATGTTGTTATACAAAGTCATAATCTGATGAACGTATGCAGTATTTTTTTTTTAAATGGTATATGAACCGACGATATCAAATGATGAGGACCACAACGAGCTGTTTAGTTAGCACATTTAAGAATGTAATATCCCCATTTTTCTTCGTGAAAAGAATCGGCACACCTGTCGGCAAACCTCCCCTGCCCATTTAAAGGAGTCCACTCGTGTTAAATTGTTTTACCTCCATCGGCGCACTTCGTCCACAGAGCCGACTGAATCCGGCGATGTCGGCAAACATGACGGAGGCGGACTCGTAGAGTTCACCGTTCACGCCTTCCATGTTCATCAACCGTAGCGCAACCGACGGCGGCAACATCGCATTGAGGAGGTAGGTTGATCGCTTCTTCTCCTTGTTCAGCTCCTGCACGATGGCGGACATGAAGAGGACGATGACGGACATGAAAGCGACAATGACTCATGAATTATTGTTTATGCCTGCTGCTGTGGCTGATGTCAGCCAGAACAACATATACAACGCCTTGTCAAGTCTGGAGTTTGTACCCTTTTACAAAAGTAGCTTTGCTCACTCAAGAATTACAACAACAAAAAAAAATCATAAAATAATCTATGCCGGTTAATAGATGAGACCTTCCGCTATCCGCAGGTGTACAAACTTTCTGACATTATTGTAAAATCTTTATTTCGGGGGATTTTTTTCTGAAAAGATTTTTTTTTAGACGCTCTTCAAATAAAAAGTACAGATTCAATAAGCAATTCATCATAACAAATAAAGATAATAATGCATAAAAACAAGAGGACAAGGAAACACGAAATCGTTCTTTTGCAGCTAAACTAATTACAGCTGTGAAAGTGAGATATTAAAGGGGCCAAAGTAGAGGCTACTAGCTTGTACAGCACAGAATTCAGAAAAACGTAACATTCCATAAACCAAAGATGTCTAAACAAGGAAGTTCTTCAAAGCGAAAGGCTGTTGGATATCAACAAGAGACCTACGAATCACTACCTTGGTCTGTGCGGCCAGTGTCAGGGCGTAGTTCTGTAATACCGTGGTCAACGACCAGATGGCTCGGAGGGTGAGAGGGCATATGATGATGACGACTAGGACAAGGAAGATGCTGACGGCGATGTTTTCCGTGTCATCTTCGAGTTCCTTCTCGAGTCGATCCAGGATCTCATCGGCCATGTCCTTCTGGACCCTCTCGAGGATGTCAATGTAGACCTAGGCGAGAGAGAATCCTGTGGATTCGTTAAAGTATTCAACTTTCTCGATGGAAAGAGTAAACATGAATAATGAAATAGTATGTAATAGCTTTTAGCGCAATCACCAAGAGCACATCTGCAGTCATCGTAGCACTATACACATGATAAAAGAAGCAGTCATCGGCATCATCATCACCATCAAAATCATCCAATGATTGTCACCATTAACATTATCAACACCATCATTATTATAACTATCATAAATATTGTAATCTTCTTCATCTTCTTCTTTTTCTTCTTTGTCTCCTTCTCCATCTTATTCTTCTCCTCCTTCTTCATCGACTATACATGTATGTCTTCACTTCATCATCACCATCGTCAACATTATATAACATCCTCCTTTTTAACCTCCTCCTCATCACCACATGAGCTAAATCGACACATCTTTGTGTAAGTTGATATAGGGTAATCAACTAATCAAGGGAAACGACAAGCAACGAAAAAGAAGATAAAGCAGAAGAAGGAGAAGAAGAGGTGGAGGAGGAGGAGGAGGAAGAGGAGGAGGAGGAGGAGGAGGAGGAGGAGGAGGAGGAGGAGGAGGAGGAGGAAGAGGAGGAGGAGGAGGAGGAGGAGGAGGAGGAGGAGGAAGAGGAGGAGGAGGTGGAGGAGGAGGAGGAGGAGGAGGAGGAGGAAGAAGAGAAGGAGGTGGAGGAGGAGGAGGTGGAGGAGGAGGAGGAAGAAGAGAAGGAGGAGAAATATGTTAATATTTCGTGAGAGAGGAATGTGCCGCCGGCCAGAGCTATCTATATACAGAGTATGGCCAACTTGCTTTCACTGGGTCACAACATGGCGTATATTCTTTTGTTTTGTGCTTGCCCAACAAAGCAGTAGTCACCGTATCGTGTCCAACTCGAACCGGGTTGGCCAAACTCTGTGTATAGATGGCTCTGCCACCGGCCCTCTCCTCGCTTCCTACTTTGCATTTTCCGGTGAGCTTACACAAAACATGATGAAACAGTATCCACTTTGCTTAGTATTAAAACAGACAATTAATGAACGAACAATCAAAGAAACAATCAAAGAAACAATCAAAGAAACGAACATTAACACACAACATACCGTCATACTGTCAAACCAAAGCGTTGCTTTTTCGAAGTTGGGTTGGGTGCTCTCAACAGAATTCTCCAAAATTTCCTTACTCATGTCGAGAATGATGTGCGTAAAATTAGCACAATTTGCTATGTTATGCCTCTATATGCATGAAGAAGATGAAAAAGAAGCTCTCAAAAACCGGTCATTAATTGGATTAATTCATTATAGCGAAAAGTAAAAATAATCTAGATACCACTTGTGTTTGTCTAAATAAGAAATGATGACAAATACAGATGACTTGGATAATCATGCAAGATATTAATTGTACCTTGCAAAATCAGTTTTTTTTTTTTCTAACTGAAAAATGTTAGTCGTGCTCATTTCCTCCATGGGGGTCAATCATGGGGTGGAAAAGGGGACATGTCCCCCCCCCCCCCTTCCCAATTTTCAATGGTGGGGGACACAAAATCAAATGTCGCCACCCCCACCCCCCATGTTTTTGACCTTCTTTATCATGAAGCTCCAGTATTGCATTGTGTAAGACCAAACCATGTGTTATTCCTTTTTTGCCTCTTTCTTTGACAAAACACTAGTCAAATTCAACATTACTCAGCGTCGATGATCACATATAAAAGCAACCTCAAAAATATGCTGTCCTTATTAAAGGTAAAGACCAGTATTGGAAACGCCCCGATTTCAAAAAATTAGATGGAAGCCCTTATTACCAATCATGTGAAAGAATATGTTTTGAATATTACATGATGATAAAAATTTTGACGGGAAACCGCCTACTAATTGATATATTTGGTAAATTAGTGTATCTCTCGCCTGTTGAGAGATATGAAATGCACGTGTCACGCACGTGTGTGTAGTCCCATATACATCTTTCTGTGTACAGTGCTTCTAACTTTATGAAGACTTGGCCAAATTTCTTATCATTTCTTATCGATTTCACAACGTTTCTTTCACAATGCAATCGCATGACCATAACTGGTCTTTAGCTTTAAGGTCTTATCACAGCTATCAGAGACATATACCAAGAAAAGGGGGAGGAGACTGACGCATTTCCTGATGTGGTTCAGGTAATGTGAAAAGCGATTCTTACATTTGCTTTTAATGAAAAAAGGTACAGAAGTTCAAATGAACTATTCTAAATGATTTTAAATGGATACCTGCTTTTCGTAGAACTGCTGGATGAGTGGTGTGTAGCGCTTAGATGCCGCAAAGTTCCACGAGCCCACGTTATATTTTTCCATGTACCAGACGTAGTCCTTGTGCCTCTCAAAGCCACCGAGTGTGTAAAATACAGCACCTGTTTCAAATAGATGTGCGAATCGTTTAGCCCTACCACTAAGCAAGCGCGTACGCAGGGGGGGGGGGGGGGTTAGGCCCCCCTTTGGTATTTTTATGTGTGTATTGTGGAAGAACCCCACCCCCCCCCCCTTTGGTAAAAAAAAAATTATACCAATGGCTGACCTAAAAAAGTTGACCTTACCCCCCCCCCCCCCCCAACGGAGAACATGTCAAGTGTTCAAATTTCGAGACTAAAAGAAAAAAAAAAGTGTCCTTTTTTATTCAGCGACTGGCTGAGTCGTTGCGAAATTTTCGGCCCGATTTAAAAATGTTAACCCCCCCCCCTTGAAAAAATCCTGCGTACGCGCCTGCCACTAAGTAAGTCAAAAAATTATGTTGCCGCACGAATATCGTCATGATTTGGGCAACATGGCGCCCGAGTATAACCTTATTTATTGTACTTTTATATCGAAATGAAATTAATACAACAACAAAGTATCTTTTTTCCCTCATTCGCTTCACTTCTCGCAAAAGTGATAAATTGATGAATACTGGCAACGAGATGACGAATATATGATTTTTAGAGACTATATTGTCGGTCATCTTTTTCGATCACAATACTTTCATATTAAACGCTTATCAAGCATTACGACTCCTATGTCCTCTTATTTCCTTACTCCTTACATGCTTAGTAGTGATTATAGAAGGAGCTTTGGAGGTTCAGCACCCAAAAAATGAATGTACCAACCCCCCCCCCCCCATTAAACTTTTAAAACTGCGCGCACATGCATAGTTTCATTCCTATCATTTAAATTTTGCTCTTCTCTCTCCTTCACAAATCTTATATTTGACTTCTCTCTCTCTCTCTCTCTCTCCTTTTTCACATCTACCCCGTCCTCCCTTTAACATTACTGTTTCATATTCGTCTTTATCCAAAACTGTCTCCCTCTAAATTCTCTTAATTTTTCTTACTTATTTCGTCTCCTTCGTCTGTGCAGTCTTTTTTCTCATTCCGTTTTCAACTTCCTCCATTGGTTATCTTTTTCACTCTCATCTTCCGACGTCCCAATTCCTTTTCCCCTCTTCCCCTCTTCTCCTATTCAACATCCCTCTCCTCAAGCTGCTCCCCCTCTGCACATCTCCATTCATCGTTATCTTCCTTCTCTTTGTTTTGCATTCATCCCTGTCCAATTGATATCTATTCTGGACCCAAAGCCATTTTGATTATCTTGTTTAAAACCGACATCTCTGTAACATCAACATTTGGTTTTAAAAAAATAAATAAATAAATAAAACAAAATTCCCTATAACGTATTAAGATCTCGCGGAATGGTAATAAATTTAACTTAAAAAAGCAATCTGCAAACTTCTCCCAAACAGCAACAAACATCAGACATGAAAATAGCCTGACAAAAGCCAGGAGGCCTATTTCATCACAGAGTTCACCCCCTTCAGACGTTACAAATACAGACCCACAATTATTTTCAAAATGGTACGTTAAGCTTCCTCGACGTCGTTGCTCACCGAGTGTCCTCTCGATGCCCGTATCGACGTTGCTGACGATGAGGAGCTGGTAGGCGACCAGGATCTGCCAGGAGCCGTGTCCTTGCGAGTTCCCAACACTTTCATAGAGCCAGTCGATGAAGATCTGGAGCATGTCGGTGTAGAAATCGATCTCTCTATACACTGTGGTATTAGAATGGTGTAGACGCTGACGGTGCTGCTCCAAATTCTCCTTAAAGTCATTCTTCTCACGAAAGAATGGTAGCTCCTGTCACAAACATCCGTTTTTAAGAGTATAATTTTTAATCAATTATAATTATATTTATTGTATTTTATATTATATTATAATGATAATGATAATGATAATGCTCATGTCTGTTAGATTTGACACTCCTGGCGCACCACAATTATCAGGAGTGGATCTAGCTTTTTGCCAAGGGGGGGGGGGGGGGGTTGACCCAGTGGCGGATCCAGGATTTTCCAAAAATCGCGCCGTTGTACTGTTTTACTTTTTTACTTCTTTTGTTTTCTTCTTTCCCCCTCCTTTTTTCTTCACTTGGCCGCCCAAGGGGGGGGGGGGGGTAAACCGCCGAGCACCCCTAGATCCGCCCCTGAATTATTACCCCGGCTTAAGCATGGCTGCCATTATGGCGTTCTAGCATTTCGAACAATTAATTCCTGCCAGGTACCCATTTTAATAGCTCACCTGGGTGTAGTGTGGCAAATGCAGAGTAATGTCTTGCCAAAGGACATTGGTACCTTTCTCCGTTTAAGGGCTGTTCCAGAGGTTTTTTAAGTGCATTAAACTGACAGGAAATTATCTCATCAAATCAGCTCTCAATTAACATACAAAGAAGGGGATCATGGGGACTCGGACCAACAAGCACCGATTAGGCATTGTTTGCTATATAGAGGGCGCAAGTAGCTATAAGTAGTGCGGTGGGGATTTAAATGACTTTAACAAGCGGAGTGGAGGCTCTTTTTGTTGCTAAAGTTGTCTCTATCATCCATGCTTACGTTCAGAATACTGGTTTCGACGGGCCATTCCTGAAGCTCGTCGAGGGCCCTGTCAGTCAGCGGGTAGGTCTCGGTCAGGAAAGCCTTGCTGTTCGGTGCGACCACGCTCAAGTACAGGGCCGTCATGTCACGTTCCCTCTGCAGGCGGCTCAGGAGGAGCCCGATGTTGCGACTGAAACTGATTACGTTGCGGATCTCGATGTCGACGCTGTGATGAGAGAGAGAGAGAGAGAGAGAGGGAGAATAAATGAAGAAGAAGAAAACAATCTGAGAGGGGCATTTTTCTCGTGAAATAAGCGCTAAATCAGAAAGTGGTTTCGAGAGGGGGCTTGGGGACTCAGCCCCGCCCCGAATTTTTACCCCCCCCCCCAAAAAAAAAAATAAAAAATAAATAAATACAAAATAAATAGAAATAAGTAAATGCGAGGCTCAATATAGAAAAAAAGAACCTCCAAGACCGCTAAAGTGCCCCCCCCCCAATTATTCTCCTAGAACGGTGCCTGTAAAAATAGTATATCCATGCGAGACATTTTTTTAGTCACACAATAAAACACCCTTTCGGAGAAACCGATGAACACGTCCCACTGGAAACTGGAGCCCTGCATGGGATGAGCGCGTCTTTGCCTTGGTGCGGGCCTTTCCACTCTTTCCTCTGCCAGACATGATGTTTTTGATGAGTTTAGAATAAACTCTTTTTATATAACATCTAAGTAGATCCTTGTCATTTGATTAGAGGATTGTTGGTCACATGATATTCAATGCATAATATATTGAACGACTACGTGAGTGTGCATTGTTGGTTTACTATATTATCCGTGCATTTTTTCTCTATTCTATTTAATTAAGTTAAATTAAATTCCAATTCAATTCTATTCGATTCAATTCGATTTATTTATTTCATTTCCAACATAAAGATAAACAAAGGCATTACAGATATTATTACAGAAAGTATGAACAAAATGTATGTGCTTATTAATTTGTTTAATCAAATACACTGTTCACTTAATAAAATTGGTCGTTATATTATAAAAAACAAAGAGTGTTTTTCATTCCGGCGTTCAATAGTGCTAATATTTTCATTTGTTAAATTTCATTTTTTGTATAATATGCCACTCACATATTGCAGTGTCCCTGTATTAGATTATTTTTCTTCCGAAGCGATCGGGTTCAACCAATTATTTTAGTTAGTATTTCAACTTCCCAAGAACTAGTACATAAAGGTATTCAAAGGGTCGTCATGCTCCCAAATAAAATCCCCATTAATATATAATGAAATATATAATCACGCTAATTTTCAACACGGTGCAATAAACCGGTTTACTAAGATAATCAATATGATGATGGATGTTTCTTTCCTAGGGAGACCTAGTGACGAGTTATTCCATTAACCTGTTACCTGGATACATTACTTGTTGCTATGTAGGGCAGGTCTTGGGCAAGCTTTTCAGGGTGTCAAGACAAGACAAACTTTTGTTTAAAAAGTACGCATAACATTTAAAATGTTAGTAACCGGTCTCTTCTACTTCCGTTATAGGGGCACCTTGTCGCTTGTACCGACTGGCATATTAAAAGCATGTGATAGAGTCGATATATGAACGCGTGACAAATGAAAGGTCAAAGGCGAAGAAACATATAGCTCCGTTTAGTCTCATTTCACAACGCCCCCTATCGTCAGAGTCAGCAGCCATACATGTTAGCCTATGCTTTTGTACCAAAACAAATCGTTAAAATTTGACTTTTTGTTAAAACGAAAAGCACATCCACCCCGACTTACGTTATCACTAGCTCTTTCATTGGAACCCTCATGTCCCATTGACTTTTGAAAGTTCACACACCGTAATTTGATCAAAATAGGTTGCAAGCTCGTCATTGCCTATAATACACATGTGAAACAAGTCGAACTTTGGACTCAGTTTGCCAAGCGATTTTAAGATTATAGGTCAAGCACACGAAGGATAAGAAGCATAAATTATAGATCACTTCTGCTTGGTTCATTATGTCCATTTCATCCAACCCCCCACCGTCACTTTTCCATTTAGAAAAAGCAAACATTTTGCCGAGGTAGCAAAAACATGAATATTCATGAACGGTCAGACAATACAGCCTTTTAGTACGTAACGTATAGTGAATGGGAATGGGCGATGATCCGTCCAGGAGGTAGAGGTCAGTGGTTTGTGCTGGCAATGTTCCAGCGAGCGAAAATGAGACAATCGGAGCAATATGTGTAATCCCCTACTTACAATCGGAGGGGATGTGAGCAGTAACCCCCCCCCTTTGAGTTGTGGATTAATTCCGTATGCTTAGGCCTATATGCAGCATTTTTCTTAAAATCCTGGCGTTCGCCCGTCGCTTCTGGATGCAGGATTCAGAACAAAATATTCCTCAAGAAAATGTAATTGCTCCCAACCCCAACAAAATAAATAAATAAAGGAGTGTAAATATTCTTTGATTTGCGTATTAAATATATTGTATGCCAGTTGGGTTTCAAGTGGCGCGGACCCGTTGCCCCCCTATTCCACCGGTGCCTCTGGAAAGGGATTTACCCCTTCTTCCAAAGCGTCATAATTTGAAATATTCATTATCCGAGCAATATCAGTCAGTGAACGACAACGCTCATAACATCGTGAGATTTTCTACATGAACTTGAAACTAAGAGAAGCACTACAAGAGAATACTGATGATGAAGAAGGAATTGAAAACATACAATGTTAAAGCCTAGTATAATCATGATCTGAGTGGTGTTGGAGATATGTATATAAATATACATATAAGGCGGTGTCAGACAGGGCCAATTATCTAGATAATTCGTAGCCTGTCTGTCACCTGTCTGTCACATACGTTTTTATAGCGCTTGATACGAATACCGTCTCTAACCGATCTACATATATTATAGGATTTCTCGGTCACTTTCGTAAGTTGGCCACACAAATTCATTTTATGTTCATTCAATTTCGCCGATTCTGTCACCGCAGCTGTTATTTTTCGTTCAAATTCGTTTTTTAGCATTTAAATTCCTAAAACGATCATTCAAAAACATTTCATTTTCATTCGAATTAAAACGTGTTTCTTTTTCGTACAATTTTCATTCAATTTAAGGCGAAACGATTTGCGATTACGTAATAGCGTCTTCCGTGAATTCAAATTCGTTTCTTTGCATACAGTTTCACACGTTTTGCAGACAAATTAAACATGTAAATCTTACCCAGTATGATTAAATAAAACCCCGCAAGCTTAGTTCCATGCTAAATCCATTTCAAATTGTATGGGTTGGTGAGCCACAAACATCTTATTTGTCCTCACTATGGGTGTATAATTATGTATACCCTCTAAATCATCACCATTTAGCAACTGAACGATCATGTGTTAAGTAGATCAAAACCTAGCCACATCAATATAGAATAAGCATGGAACTAAGCAAGAGTGTCTTTTTATGAATATGCAATGATATAAGTGCATGCAAAGTGTGTGTTTACAGACTACGGTTGTATTTATTGGAGTGGCGTACCATAATGGTGGGGGGGGGGGCAGGTATCAATACTCTATACATTGATTTATTTGTAATGTTTTGTTTTGTTTTGTTTTTGATAATTTATTCGATGTTCGTAATCTCTTTGAAGCCATTTATATTTGTGTTATTATATTTAGTCTGTATTGAACATGTTAAGAACAATCTATGACTATCAGTTCAATCACAATCATAATCACATCAAAATCTGAATCACCATCACACTGAATCACAATCACGATCGTGATCACAGTCACAATTACCATCTCAGTCACAATCGTAATCACCATCTCAATTACAATCACGATCACGCTACACAATCATTAATGAGTTTGATACATTGTATGCTCACTGCGCGCACATCTCAATAACTCATGTCATGTGGACATAAACTAAAGAATACACGTATACAATATGAAATCTTGATTTGGTTATAATGTTAATGATCATAGTTACATCATGCATTACATTACCATGTTCGTCTACGTAATATCACTTCCAAAAGATGACCGAGTACGATAAAGTCCGTGATGAGAACATCAGTAAGATGATGTCCAATCTTATATCTAGAGTTGTTTAACCCTCTACATGTTGACGGGCAAGACATCTAGGCATGTTATATAACTCATTTGTTTAATTTAGATGAGAAACATGTGCATATACCATGTATACCATAGGTTTCTAAATATAGGCGAATATGAATGAAAACTTTGTTATTTAGAATGACCCAAAGTGAAATTGAATGGTACGGACGTCCGATTTGCCATTGTTGACGAAAATGAATGCAAACTGCGCATTTGTAAGCGGTTGTTAAATTGAACGAAAAAAGTGCTAAATCCATTGACCGAATAAGTAAATCAAATGAAAAAAGTGTTATTTTGAATGTAATTAACACGCCGGCAGCTTTATTTCGCGAATTTGAATGAACTTTGTATCAAAACGAATGAAAAGCTTACGAAAGTGACCGAGAAATCCTATATTACCACATTATTACCGCATCTCCACTCCATGGGGAGTATTCCTACCATTTGGTCACCGGAATAGGCAACTACTAACACATCGTGTTTCGATTGTGTACTTATCAGCCGATGGCCATGAAATGACGCAACTACTAAATTTAGAGCATAGTCCCTTATCCACACATGCACTGCTCTCAATCTCATGTGCTTTTCTTATGCCTATGAATGCTCATACTACCGACCTGTGCATGTGTGTATTTTCTTTCTTTCTTTCTTTCTTTAGTAATCCACACAAATACAAGCTCTGCTCTTTTAGTGGATTTCTTAATTTTCTTTAAATTTTGACTTGATTTATGATTATTTTATGCTTATATATTTTTATACATTAAATATTGTATAATTAAAAAAAAAAAATTCATTTTCTAGGTTATATTGCAAATGTCATTTGATATCAAGTTTATGTAAGATTTCGTTTCCATTTGTTGATTGAGATATGGAAAAAAATGAATTGAATTGAATTCAATCTAATTGGTACTTCTACATCTGCTGTAGATCATTAAGATGCCAACCCTCATCTATTGTAATTGGTAAATAAAAGAACGAAGAAGTTAGAATACATAATGATAGCGATCAAATTCAAATGGCTAAACTAACGAAGCACAATATAGGACTTAACAATTGCAGTGGTAATGTTTTTCCATCTACCGTAGATAACGTAAACAATTATTGTTCTCAAAATATGATGTCGAAAATATTTTGACAGCAACAGTGATGATGAGAATAAGCTGGAATGGTAGACTGATTTTACTATTGAACAACATGCGACAGGCCTTCCTCTCTCAAAAGAAGGTATACATTTACTGGGGAGGAAGGGCACACCACATGGAGATGTAAGTCGGTCTAGCGGCACGTTCTCTTGGTCAGCTCTCTGTCTTCGCCTTCAAACTGGCTCAGGTGACCCCGGTTCGAAACGAAGTCAACCCTTTCAGTTGGTGATGTTAAAGGTCGGTCCTCAGACGTATTAATAATCGTATCTGATTAATACACGACTGTATAAACCCAATTACATACACAACTTAGCCCAACTAAGTCTGAAAACATTCGATTAGCATCGCTGCCAGGATATGTGACCATCAGACAAAACGTTACAGGGTGTGATTTGGGGTTAGAGCTCAACATTGGTAATTTGGTCGGAATGATCAAATTTTAGTTCTTAGTATTTTCTAAAAGAGTACACCTTCCTTTATGTAATTTCAAGATTTGGAAGCGCCAAATAATCTAAAAGTGGCATTATGGCAGTGTTTTGTAGAACTATGCTTTTTATAAATCTCGAGTTTGTTGTAGAATTTTTCATTTCATGATCCTTGTGTCAATTTGATCTTTCATAAATTTAAGATGAAGTACGCTATTATAATAATACCCAAACAAAACAGAGAACATGATGTGCCTAATTAATGTCGCAAATTTGAGAACAATTTTCAATTCATTTGACACAAAAAATTTCTATAAAATACCGCTCCTCCTTTTGTCACCTTCATGCAATACCTTGTGAGGTTTGAGGCTTGAATAGACAACAGTCTTCAAACCCCCTTTTCCCTCTATAATTAAACTCTGTGAAACAGTATACTCTACAGTCTTCTCGTGTATTCAAGGGGTTACGAACGTCCAGTTGTGATCAACATTAAAAGCTTAGAATCTCTTCTTTTAGAATCAAAAATCAAAAATCAAAATTCAAACCTGGCGACTTGGGGGGGGGGGGGGCGGGTTTGTGGTGCCATATCACATTATGGAGTAACGGTCGCCCGAATATCAGTAACTATCAATGTTCTCGGAGGAAGGGCGGGGGCAGGGCTGGGGCACGGAGTGAAGATTGCAGCTTGCAGCTCCCAACTCCCACCTCGCGTCTTACACCTAAGGTCAATACCATTAATGCTTATGATCACAGCGTGATAAAACGGTGACATCATTGAATTATGCAGATAGTGGTGGTGACGACGACGGCGACGAGGATGACGATGAGAAACTCGAATGTACATCAGTAAAGGTTCTGCGATCATAATAAGGAAGATGGTGGTGCTGATAATAATTATGATGATGATGGTGATGGTGATAAAGTTTACTTTTATTATAATTATAATGATGCTGATGCTGATGATGATGTTTATGATGATGATGGTGATAAAGTTTATTTTTATAAGAATTATAATGAAGATGATGATGATGATGATAGTGATAACGTTTATTTTGATAAGAATTCTAATGATGTTGATGGTAATTATGATAATAATGATGATGATGGTGATGATGATGGCTAAAATGATGATGGCTAAAATGATGATGGTGATGATGATGATGATGATGGTGGTGGTGATGATGATGATGGTGATGGTGATGATAATGATGATGGTGATGATGGGGAAGATGATGATGATGATGGTGATGATGATGATGATGGTGGTGATGATGATGATGGTGAAGATGATGGTGATGGTGATGATGATGATGATGATGATGAAAATGATGATGGTGACGATGGTAATGGTGAAGATGATGATCATGAAAAGGATGATGGTAATGATTATAAGAATTAAGATGATTATAGTCATGATAATGTTATTGATAATGACAAGAAGAATGTTGACAATGTTGCTCACCTGTTATTGTAAGCAATACTCTTTAGATCCAGGACCGCTAAGATGGCCAGGGCCGTAATCGGGACCAGGACCAGTAGAAGCATCTTGCCCAGCTGGATCTGTTTACCAAAGTGTGTCAGGGGGTTCACCTGGCATTTGCTGATGTCGTTAGGTCTTAGCAACAGGTTTCTGACGACATCGTCGACCTACGGGGGAAGGGAGGGGGTGGATGTGATACGGTCAATGGCATAAATAGCAAAATAAGAACAATGGCGTATCGACGGGGGTCATGGGACATGTGACTTTTTTTTAAATTGAAAGACGAAATGGGGGAGAGAGGGGGGGCAGGAGAGAGAGGGGAGAGAAAAAGAGAGAGAAAGAGATAGAGAGAGAAAAAAAAGTAGAGCGGGACAGGGAGAGACAGAGAGAGAGAGACAGAGACAGAGACAGAGAGAGAGGTGGGTGAGGGCAGTGGCGGATCCAGCCGGCGGGAAGAGGGGGGGGGGGCCCAATCCGTGAGAAAATATTAGTTGCGACTCAGCCACGGGTGAATAAGCGGGGGGGGGGGGGGGGGTGAGACCACTATTTTTTTTTTCTTCACCTAATTCGTGAGAACTTTTTTTTTTAAATTCATTTTTGTTGTTGACCCGTCAGCCCCCCCCCCCACCCCCTTGGATCCGCGCCTGCAGAGGATCCAGACGGCGTCAGGGGGGGGGGGGTAGCCAATTTGTAGCCAATTTTTCAGGAAATATTTTGCGCCGACTCAGTCAGCCGGTGAATAAGCGGTGGGGGGGGGGGGGGGGGGTGAGACCATTATTTTTTTTTCTTCACCTAATTCGTGAAAAAAAAAAAATTAATTCTTTTTTGTAGACCCGTCAGCCCCCCCCCCTGGATCCGCGCCTGCAGGGGATCCAGACGGCGTCAAGGGGGGGGGGTAGCCAAATCTTAATAAAAAATTTAGTGCCTACTCAGCCGGCCGGCGAATAAGCGGGGGGGGGGGCGCTTTTGTTTTTTGTTTTATAAAGGTTAAGTTTACGTTATTATCCTATTTTTTGGGGGGGGCTAGGGGGGGGGGCCGGGCCGGAATAATCGCTACGTGGATCCGCCCCTGGGTAAGGGGGAAGAAGGGGGAGGAAGGATCACAACGTTTTTTGAAAAGTCAATCTGAAGGCAAGTTTCAATAGCCTATACTGTAAAGTCCAGCAAGTACTATACTGACATGAAAGAACAATTCAATGACGTATCACATACTCATAGCTCTCTTTCTCATCTTTCACCTTCCCCTTCTAATAGTATTCTATTTATATCGTTCTATACCCCCCTCTCTCTCTCTCTTTTCTCGGTTATCTCCATCTGTACTTTTATCTCTCCTTCTTTATTTCTGAGGTATCAAGTATGTATAGGCCTACTGATGAATTCTTTGTTTTTTCGTGTTTTCGTTTTGTTCATACTTTATTTCTTTTGAACATTCTATTTTTTTCAATATTATTGTTTAAATATATTTGTGGCTTACACCCAGTAATAAAAGATCGATTGATCGATCTGTAATTTAAAACAAGCTCTCCTGATTTACTGGGTGTAAACCACAAATATTTTAAAACAATTTCAAGTTCTCCCAGGAAGCATTGTATTGTTTTCTATTAATGACATTTCGACCGAAAGTGTAAATGGAAATGAATGAGAGTGAACAATAATGTAAAGCCTTGGTGAATATAGTAATTACATGAAATTAGGACTTACCGCGGAAAGCGATCCGAAGGAAATTCTCCTATGTTCTGTTTCCAAAGCGTCAATATTTTTATTGTTCCGAGCTGTGACCGCCATTTTGTTTTCGGTTTATCATCCAACTCCCACAGAAGATTTTCGTTGAATTATTAGCCACTGGTCAATATATATTTCCAAGTGCATGTGTTATGTAATCTCGTGTTTTTCGTTTACGGGCATTCTCGTTTAACCGGAGAAACAAGACCACTCAAAAGACAGAAAGATAATTTATTGATGCCAACATTATGGTAATCCGAATCAAGATACGCAACAAAGGAGCAAACGCATAGAGACGACAACATATAAATCGAGTAGGAGAGGAAGATAATCGTTTCTACGAGATAGCAAACCTTTCCTCTTTTTTTCATCGTTACTTTAAGGTTTCGCAGATGGTTCAAGAAAAACATCGCTCTACTCTACATGTAGGCGAACTTGCTCTAGCTAATTAGATGTCGATTCTGAATGTGTTTACACGATTGCCTATACACAACGTCGTATTTAGAACAGCAACCTCTGTAATTAATCAATTTCGTTTTCATTCGCAGCATTATTTTTCTCTTGATATTTCATGTTCACCACAAAAGTTGTTCTTTGTTTATTTTTCATCTTTTGTCTTGTTTTATTAATTTTTTTCCACATCTTATTAAGTTAGTTCTGTCACTTTTAAGTAACTCTCCTTCCCTTTATTCAACCCTAACTCCCCTAACTATTTGGTTTCGTTCGTCTTCTCTAATTTTGTCTTTTAGTCTTCTCAATGTTAAAGGTAAAGACCAGTATTGGAAACGCCCCAATTTCAAAAAATGAAATGGAAGCTCCTATTACCAATCATGTGAAAGAATATGTTTTGACTAATACATGATGATAACAATTTTGCCGGGAAACCGCCTACTAATTGATATATTTGGTAAATTAGTTTATCTATTGTTATGTGAGAGATAAACGCACGTGTGCGTAGTCCCGTATACATCTTTATGTGTACAGTGCTTGTAACTTTACGAAGACTGGGCCAAATTTCTCATCATTTTGATGATTCCAGAACCTGGCAGTACACACCAATACTTATATGCTAGATGATCAACCTTTTCTGATCGATTCCACAGTGTTTCTTTCACAATGCAATCGCATGATCATAACTGGTCTTTATCTTCAACCCAACCCTAACCCTAACCCAAACACTAACCATAATCATAAATCTAACCCGAATCCTAACCCGAATCCTAACCTTAACCCAAACCAGAACCCGAACCTAAAACCTAATGAAACCCTAACTCAATGTTTTTTACAAAATAAAACCTAGGTTGACAAAAAGACATGCAATGAGAAAATGTTTATCATTTTCTTTAAATCACTAAAAATTCGACATCGAAAACTGTTTTGTTCTGGGAACTCACGTTTCATTTTCTTTTCTTTTCAGTGTGAACGCCGTTTGTTTGTAGGGTTTCGTCCTTTCTTATAGTTTCCATAGCAACCAATGCTAAAAGAATTTGTTTAGAACGTGGAATACATAGAAGAGCACTAGTCTAGTGGGATTATCAATATATCATATGACAAAATGGATACATTATATCCAAATTGTCATAGGAAAGATGGGACTTAAAAATTAGATTAGATGCGTACGATATGTATTTGTCAGACTCAGATTGAAAATATATCTTGTGAGGAGAAATTTGTGTAAAAATGATGCCTGCAGGAAATTAGATTTCTTGTATTTTTGTTTAACCAGAGACAAAGATGAAACTGCCAAATTAGGTTTTATATCTTAGATATTTACATTTAGTTACATTATCACCATCATCACCATTATTGCCATCAACACCATAATCCATAATTGTCACCATTATCATCATCCCCACCACCACCACCCACCACCACCACCCACCACCACCACCACCCACCACCACCACCCACCACTACCACCACCCTCATCATCAACACCACAATCCGTCATTGTCTGATTATTTCTCACAGGTAGACGAATTCATTCGCTGGTGTGACGATCATTACTTAACATTAAACACAACCAAAACCAAAGAAATGGTAATCGACTTCCGTCGAAAAGGTACAGACCACGAGCGTGTGATCATTCATAATGAGGCGATCGAACAGGTTGGAAACTATAAGTATCTTGGAACTGTCTTAAATGACAAATTATCATGGAGGGATAACACACAATCGGTGTATAAGAGAGCTAACAAGAGGTTGTTTTTTCTACGTAAGTTGAAAAGTTTCCATATAGATGCAACAATCCTGACCCTGTTCTACAATTCAATAATAAAGAGTGTCCTGCTTTTCAATATTATATGTTCATTTGGCAATCTCTCAAAACAGGACAAGAAGAAATTGGAAAGGCCACGTAAAATAGCACAACGCATAATTGGGATAGAATTAGCTTCTGTCGAGTCTCATTGTACTGAGCAAATTGTTGATAAGGTCTGTGCAATCATGAAAGACAATACCCATCCACTTCATTTATTTCATTCATTTACTCGTTCTGGTATCCGACTTAGCCCCACCCCAACCCACCTTTCACGATTCAGATATTTATTTGTACCCGACTGTTCATAAATTCAACTCACAGGTTAAACGTTAAACTTCTGCGTCGGAAATTAATTGTATGTTTTGAAATACCAATGACCAAGGCTTAATTCTGAAACTCATGATTTGAAGTACATGTACCAATGACCATTTTTGTCGCTTCATTATCTTTTGCATGTATTTTTTCCTTATTTCATCTATTTCATTCTATAAACGTGATGTATATATTTCTTGTAATTATGTATTTTGTTGAATATGACTGTAACGCCAGTGGAAAACAATTTTCTATGTAACTTGTTTGCAAAGACCAAATAAAATATCTTGTATCTTGTATCTTGTATCTTGTCACCATTATAATCATCACCAACACCACCACCACCACCACCACCCCCACCACCACCATCATCATCATCAGCATCACCACCACCATCATCATCATGAAAGCAAAATAATTGAAATGTAAAGAAAAATATAAAAAGAAACAGTGGAAGTAAAAAGCAATGACATCAATAAACCAACAAAATAAATTCAATATCATGGTTATTCAAAAGACCATTTATTCACTACAGATAAAAGATTAAATTCGATCAACATGATCAACACTTCAATCATCTTCACGCAATAAAGTTAAGCACCTTTTAAATACAACAAAAAAGACAGTGTGATTATCTTTGTCAAATCTTATAAATGATCACCAATCCCAGCGCTAATTAAAGATCTTGTATGTCCAAAATATCAACCAATGCTTCCATCAGTTTTATAAAAAAAAAACATTGCTGTTGAAAGAAAAAGAAGAAACGTGAGGCCATTGCTGAAGTTGATATAGGCCTGTATTAACTGTACATGTAGTTGGTATGAGATTACTGTTCTTGAAAGAGGCAGGGGAGCGATAGTCCAGGATGTACAATGTTTGTTTTACCTGACTGCTAAGACAAAATGTGTATGCTTATTATTAAGCAACCAGGGGACCGACGACTTTAAGTCCTCTCAGAGGGACTAGCCATCAAACCCGGGCTATCCCAATTAAGAGACCAAAGCTCTACCACTGAGCCATTGCGTCTCCTTGAAACTAAATGTAAACAGAACTCCATTCCACATGTCTGCATATAGATTGATTGCAAAGTACACCCAAAATGTAACAAAAAATGTTATTGTCCAGAGCATATAAAATGTAGAAGTATCTAGTGACTTATTACAAGGAAATGTATTGTCCCGTTCTCGTCTCTGTTGGCATCCCTCCATTTGTTCCCTAGTTTGTAGTTCCTTTTGTAGTTACAAACTTGTTAATTTAATTACTCATTATTCCTAAGTATCATTTGAGGGGCGAAAATGTGTACAAGCATTGCTTTTTAGTGGACCCTTCTGTTTCCAATATGTATTCCTTAACTGTTGTAAATGTTTATAATTGATTTGTAATGTTTTGTTGGAAACATAAATCAATTGTATTGAATTGAATTGAATGTAATACCTTACTGACGATGACGATAGGCATGTTCCCTGCTTGTAGCATGGCGATGGTGCTCATGGGAGTGAGGCCCGACAGAAGGACGTACATGATACCCAGGTAGGAGAGCAAGAAGGACACAGCAATGAAAGAAATAATGCATGATATTGTATCAGAGAAAAGAAGCTAAAGAAAGCAGTTGAAGAGCTCCACAAAAATATGAGAAAATGTAGATTGGCACCCTTCACCCTTGTGTTATTTTCCTTTTAATTTTTAATGAAACTTTTGCAAGTTGCAAACAGTGGCAGTTTACATGACAATAACAATTTGTGAATTGCAAAAATTGATTGTTGTGTCAATTGTGAATCATTTATCTTGTGTCGTGAAACTTTGCAAATTCGAATCACTCGCAAATGTACGAACATTTCCTGCATGCCAAAGCTTTTGGTTTTACAGTACAAAATCCACACATTCTTCCATGAGACTTTTTATTTATTTTTTTACAAAGCAGTCATATAATCTTTCATCAAAGAATATTTGAGAAAAAATTGAAATGGAAAATGATCATTATTTCATAGCCAGTTTTACTGGACTGGGCTTGTTTGCATGTGCAAATGCATAATTGTTGTTTTCATAACTAGTGTGATTAAAATGATAGCAATCCCCCTGCAAAAAAGAATAATTATTCTTATTTTGAGGGTAGGGAGGGAATGGGGGGGGGGGGGGGGGGGGGGGGGTAGGGAGGTGTCTAGGGCCTTTCCTTGTGAAATTCATTATTTTGAATGCATTCAACCAAACTTTTATGTGTTTTATTGCCTGTCTGCTTGCAGCGTGTTATGATGATTGGAATGCTTATAGCTCTTATGAAAAGCATGTTATTAATTGAAGGCTCAAGCTTGCATTTTTCTAAATCTATTTCTATTTAACACATTTTTTTCCTTGGAAAGTCTTAAACTGCCAATCATTATCAATATTTGCATGTAAGCATTTTAACAACAATAATGCTAATAAAGGCTTGCACCATGATTTCAATATTATATTTTCCTCAATCTTTCTCATTGTTTTACAAAAGGTGAATAAGAGGGCATTTCTATATATAGCCGGTTTAGGAACCATTTGGTGTAATTAGCCTCAGACTTAATTGGCTCTCAACCTCTTAGGTGTTTAATTACTTCAATGAGACATATTTACGAGCTCTCATTACTTCCTTGTCTACCTTGGAATAGGATGTTCATGCTCTCTCTCTCTCTCTCTTT